TCGTGGGAGCCTATCAAATTTAAGGCCGTTAGCCGAAAAGCAGCCACGTGACTCTTTTAAAATCGGCAATTAGAGCGTTGGCAGCGAGCAAGGAAGAAGCGTGTAGGGAGCAGGCGCTCTCCCTCTTCCTCCGGTGCTTCATAGTTATTGCGTTTTTATTTTAAACTATGGCAGAGAATTTCGAGCTTTGGGTCCAGGAAAATGAGCTATCCCCAGAGACGGTAGACATCTTAAAGGACGCGGGTTTTGTATCTCTGAAGAGCTGCAAAAAGCTCTCTGAATCACTTATTCAGAAACATTTCGGACGATCCCTTTCCTTGGCCCAGCTGCTACTCCTGCAGGATGCAGTGGAGTCACTGCAGCCTCCGCAGCCACGGATCAACCAGGGTCCGGGTGCGGGGGAGGGTGATTCAACAGGAGCCACAGAAAGTGAGGGAAATCAGCCATCTACATCTAGGGAAGTTCTGAGGGAGAGGAAACAAACGGAGCCAGACCCTATTGACTCCGAACTAGATTATGCCAAGCTGTGTCAGCTACTAGGAGTTGAGAAACAGGACAGCAAAACACCTACAACAGGTGAGCCACTAGGTAAAATTTTTGACCCCTTTTCGATCTCAATCCCACAAAAGCAAACTGCAAAGCTCCGTGAGATCCGCGACTACGTGATGTTTTCACAGGCCTACGAAAAAGGCAAGATAGAGAGCGACGTACCACTACGAGTAGGCAACATAGAACTATCTCTCACGGAACGGAAAATCCCACTGGAGAAAATCACCCCCCTGCAATTCACCGAGGCATCAATGAAGATTCTGAAGGAAATGGTGGAGCAAGACGGCGCGGACATGAAAACAGCCATGCAATATGTCGGCTACATCACGAAGGTAGCGTGTATGGGTCAATCGTTTACGTGGTCGTCGGTATTGCGGTACGATGCGGAGTACAGGAGGGCACAAAACACCATGGGTTTTCCCTGGGGAAGCGACAGCCCTTTCCTTATGCAACTCTTACTTAAGCCAGTCCAGGATCGCTCATCGCCTCCTTCCCTGGGACACAGACGAAAGCCGAACAGGACAGACCCATCGTCAGGACGCCCCATATGTCTCAAGTACAATGGTCGACAAGGGTGCTCTCTCCAAAACTGCCGCTTTGCGCACATTTGTTTGACATGCCAAAGCTCGTCACACGGGGAATTCACACATAGTCAGCAAGAAAGCAGAAACACAACCCACTGACCATTACAAAGCGCGAGGGATTCTCCGCTCCGCGAAAACCTTCGAGCGTGGGGAGAGGAACTAAGCGGAGACGTTGACAATGTTTTTATTTTAAGGGGAATCTCTGAGGGCTTTCGCATTGTGGATGACATTGATTTAGATAGCATACCAAGAGTCGAAACTATTAACAGTAAATCTGCCACCTGCGGAGGTGCAAAAATCATGGTGGAAAGGCAGATTCTAGAAGAGATAAGAGAAGGTCGCTACATATATCCCAAGGCAGACCCCTTAATTATCAGCGCGTTATCAGCAGTGCCTAAGTCCGACGACAAGATACGCCTAATTCACGATTACAGTCGTCCTGAAGGTAAGGCTGTCAATGATTATGCTACTAAGAACACTTTTAAGTGTGAGACTTTACAGACAGCCCTCAATCTGATCAAACCCGGTCATTACCTAGCGAAAGTGGACCTCGAGGCAGCCTATCGCTCCGTTCCCTTGCACCCGTCCCAGTTCCGGCTCACAGGGCTAAAATGGAAATTCAGTGACGATAGGGAGCCACGTGTTCTAGTGGATACAAGACTGCCATTCGGTGCTACCAAATCTCCTGAAATTTTTCATCGGATTTCACAAAGCGTCAAACGAATGATGGAGAGAAGAGGTTTTAATGTGGTAGTATATCTCGACGATTTTCTAGTGATAGGAGAGACCTTTAATGAGTGTCGGGACGCTTACAACGCCTTGATTAATCTCCTGAGGCGGCTCGGCTTTAGTGTGAATTGGAAGAAAGTGTGCGACCCTACGACAAGGCTTACGTTCCTGGGCACCGTCATAGACACTGTCGCGGGTACGCTATCCCTGGAAAAGCAGAAGGTGTCGGCTCTGATTACATGCTTAAAACAATACATGGCCCGGAAGCGTGCGTCGCGGCGCCAGCTTGAATCTCTCGCAGGGAAACTCGTGTGGGCTTCAAATGTTATCCCTTGGGGCAAAACTCATGTGCGCCCCATTTTCAACGCGATTTCAACTCTTAAAAAGGCGGCACACAAGTGCAAACTCGATTCTCTTCGCCGGGACTTCCTTTGGTGGAATAAATGGCTTATTGCAGGAAACAACACCAGACTAATCTGGGATTTCCGTCCAGAATGTCATGTATTCACAGACTCCAGTGTTTTTGCAGGTGGAGCCTTCCACAATGGAGACTGGTATTACACGAACTGGGAGCAGGATGCCCCCCGCCTTGGCGCCAGCCATATCAACGTAAAGGAACTTGCAGCCATTGTCCTTGCAGCTTACAGATGGGGACACCTGTGGTCTTCATGCCGGGTCATTGTCCACACAGATAGCGAGGTCGCCATGCACATCTTAAACAAAGGAGCGTCACCCAATCACATGTGTAACGACCTCCTTAAGGACTTATCGTATTTATCCCTGAAGCATTGTTTTTCAATTCAGGCGGCTCATATCGCAGGAAAAGACAATGGGATGGCCGACGCCGTATCAAGAATACACGACCTGAACTCTTGTGCGCGCTTCATTAACTTAGTGTCCGTTTTTTATTTGTACCACAATACCAAACCTCCTTTTTACAATCTTAGGAATCACATGACTGACTTATCTTTATTTTTTCTCTCTTCTTCACTCAGATCACGTGCGGCTGCGCCAGCAACTAGATGAGGAGGTAGTCTTTTGGAGATCCCAGCTATTCGCACCGTCCACTAAGAGCACTTACAAATCCCACCTTCGCGCCTACGCCAAATTCTGCGCCGAGATAAAGTGTGTGCCCGTTCCTATCTCGTCCGCAAATCTCTGCAGATATGCAGCGTATCGGGCTCGCACATGCGGCGTATCTACGCTTCGCCAGTACCTGAACATAGTTAGGATTATTCATTTGGAATTCGGGTTCCCAAACCCTCTCTCCTCGTGGGATGTTAAGGCTACCATCGGCGGGATAAAACGGCACAAACAGGACCCCAGCCGACAGAAATCACCAATACTCCCGTTCCACCTGCTCCAACTGCGTTCTACCCTTATTTTAAGCGACCTAGACCAGCTGCAGACGTGGGCAGCTTGCTTAACTGCGTTTTTCGGCATGCTCAGAGTCAGCAACTTCACGGCGAAATCGCAATCAGATCCGGGTCATTCTATCCTTCGGCGTGACGTGACTTTCACTAAGAGAGGGTGCACCATACGGGTGACTAAGTCAAAAACCAACCAGTTCGGCCAAAGAACTCACATCATCACCCTTCCCTTCATGCCAGGGAACGCACTATGTCCTACTACAGCACTGACAGCTTTTTTCAAACTGTCGCTCGAGACGCCAGAATCGGCGCCCCTCTTCGCTACCCTAAAGGACGATACTACGGTCTACCTCACGTCTACGAGCTTCCGCCATAGACTGACAAAATCCCTGGGAACAATAGGCCTTTCACCTACCGTCTATAATACCCACAGTTTGCGGAGAGGGGGGGCTACCTGGCTGCTGTCCGTGGGTACCCCCCTAGGGATGGTTAAATCAATGGGTGACTGGTCAAGTGACGCTGTTTTTGAATATATTAAGCCCACCCCTGATATGAAATATGACACTATGCACAAGGCCATCAAACAAACTTAGGCCGTCCCAAGTAACTACCCGTAATAAACTGTTTCAGACTTTAGTTTACAACTACTTTATTTGGGTTGGGGTATAGTCGTTTCATCATCAGTAGGTTTTTATATACAGTTATTTTCCATTGTGTCAACCTTTTTCTTTAAACGAATTGTTATACTATATATATTTCAATCGTATGTAGTTAGTCGTTTATTTATTTTCTTAAATAAACTCTGCAAGCCCGAAAGTGTGTTGGTTTTAAGTACTCTTTTCGTTTAACGGAAAGCTATTTAAAACCGCCACTGGAGGGCGCGCCGCGCGCGGTCCCCGTCGTGGGAGCCTATCAAATTTAAGGCCGTTAGCCGAAAAGCAGCCACGTGACTCTTTTAAAATCGGCAATTAGAGCGTTGGCAGCGAGCAAGGAAGAAGCGTGTAGGGAGCAGGCGCTCTCCCTCTTCCTCCGGTGCTTCATAGTTATTGCGTTTTTATTTCCCACCCACCCACCCTCAAGGGGGTGTACGTAAAATTCCAGACTTGCAACTCAGCATGGGGGGTATAGTCGTTTCATCATCAGTAGGTTTTTATATACAGTTATTTTCCATTGTGTCAACCTTTTTCTTTAAACGAATTGTTATACTATATATATTTCAATCGTATGTAGTTAGTCGTTTATTTATTTTCTTAAATAAACTCTGCAAGCCCGAAAGTGTGTTGGTTTTAATGAAAGGGCATGTTGCAACATAAGATAGGGCATAGCCGCATATGTTAAACCAATGAACGTAGATGTAATATCATATCACGCATTACATTAGATTATATAGAACAAGTGTCAGCGAGTGTGAAGAAACCGACACAAAGAAAGAGATGACGGAGCGACATGTTGACATAATCCAAGTTATCGGAATAGCGTGTGTTTATTTGTTTTTCATTCATCGAATGTTATTTGAGAATAATTTCGTGCTAATGATTCTGAATTTGGTACTTTCTCATAGCTGTGAAGAACTTTTTTACATTACCAATTTATAGGGTTATGGTCAATGTATAGGGTCCTAAAAAAAAAAGAAAAAAAAAAAAAAAAAAAGAAAAACGGTACCCCGGTTTGTACGTAAGAAGTATATCTGCATCAGATGAATAGAGTTGTGGTGATCATTACCAATACGAGACATACAACGCGTATAAATATGAAAAAGAGGACAAAATCACACCTACATTCTTTTTATTCCACATTACACGAGGGAAACAACAACAGTAATACTGGCTGTCAAAATGCTCAAGTCATTTTCAAAATCCTATAAGCACGGAGGTAACACTTATCTTGCATTGATAAATCTACATGGACGTTGACAAATAATTCAAGAACTTAACACAAAAATATCAAAATTACTAACAAACTTAATATAAAATGACACTTCAAAATCGTCAGAAAAGAAGGGCTGAGTGGATTGCACTAGTACAAAACCGAATTATATAATCTATTAAATACATATACAAATACAATACATAAAAACTTCTATCACATTCAAAATGTTCACGCCAATCTAAATCCTACAAAACGTGCAATTACAATGGCACCGTTTTGTGTAGCTATACATATTTCTTAGGTCCAACTTGAATTTTGCAGTAATAGATATGTTAACCTGTTAAAATAATGTATTGCATGCTTGAGGTATGTATAACATTAGAGGTGACATGAAATTTAATTCTTAAAAAAATAAAGTAGCTTCTGCTGTCTCATAGTTGGAAGAGATAAAAACACTTCAGTCAGCACAAAACCTCTGTCATTTAAAGTTCAGTGGTAAATGCTTACATTTCTAATATACTGATCTCACTTCATAACATGTCATGTTTACCTTTGCTCATAGTATAAAATATTGCAATTTCAAAATAAAATAAAGGAAAGGAAAATAAAGAAAAATAACTAATTCATAGACAAAGGTGATACGAAGCTCCTTACCCTGAAAAAAAAAAAAGGATTCATTCACTCATCTCACATGGGGTACTGTATCCATTCTTCTGCACATCACTTTGACAGCAAACATTGCCACAAGTCAACAGTAAATATCATTAAAGCCTACCAGGTCCAAGAAATTGTCCTAGCTTAATTTAAAATAAAACTAGCCAGACTTGTATACGGTGGTAATAATAATAATAATAATAATAATAATAATAATAATAATAATAAAATGATGCCCAAAATGACAACAAAGAATTTCTCCAATATATTTAAGTCTGGATCTATAATTGACATGCACTTCTTTATAATGTTTAATGCAAATTTCATGTTTTTCAAACCCTACATTAAGTGTATTTAACTATTCATATATACTTCTATATACATAATACTAGAACTGCTTCACCGGAACATTTCTCTTGAATGGATATACATCAAAGATGTTAGAGCACAACCAAACTGAAGCAAAATAAAACAGACATGCTTCATATGTATTCCTGAGTATTACTTATTACAGTTATTATAACCATTCTAAAAATGCACCACATACATTTTGATTAGCTGCTACATAATATACAAAAGACAGTAAAAACTGACAATTGTACAGCCCAGTGCCTGTATCAAGACTGCATGGGTAACAACCTATTTCAGACTTAACACTGGCAAACCATCCTGTAAAACTCGGGGGGTGCAATGGAGGTAAATTACTACTAAGAATAAACTGAGACAGCATAACGTTTAATCTACTAGTCCTTGTGATTACTGTATATGTACAGTCATTTCCAATCCCCTGACTCTGTATAACCATGACTAATCACTTAAAAATAGAAATATAAGTAAAACGACATACCTGGCAGTGGTATTTTTGCACTGTGTGAGATACAGCAATATATTAGAAGATGCACCCGTCAAATTGCTTGTAACTTATAGAGTGCTTACCCAATGACAGTGTGTTTTTTCTATGACTGCATTCCATGACTTGAGGTTTATGTCTTGTTGTTGCTCTGGCAACTGAAACTAAGTATTATCGTACTATGCAAATGTATCATTATATTCTTAATTTTTTTGAGAGTAAGAGGGCTCATCTTCCATAGACAAAAGTAACTAAAATACTGATTTGGAATTATAAGAATAAAGCATTCTATTCATAAAGGGCACCAGCATGAACTTTGTGATACAAAATAGCTGAATATCATTATATTAGCACTGTCTAAGTAAATACTTATTTTTTTCAATACTTAAAAATATCAGCAGTAAAAAAAATAAGGAATAAAAGTATCTGATACAATCTAAAAATATGGCATTATGCAATTAACATTTTGATTTTTTGTAATTGCTTCATAAAATTGTTTGAAGTTTTCAATCATTATCATAGTTCAATAGCCCCTTCCTCGTTTCAAATCTGTTGCCCCTTTTTTTAAAATCTTCATAAGCAGACAATTATTTACTGCAAACGGCCTGAAATTTTGAAATAATTTACAATTGTATTTTTCTACTATGCTTTAGGTTCATTTTTAACTATGATCTAGAAAGGTACTTGACTGAAAAACAGTCTGTTCTGAGTTTACAATATTGTTTTATGAGTAAATTAGATGGTATATCATCTACAGACCAAACATTTGTAATTTTGCAAATGATACATCTATGACAATAAATAAATAATGCCTTGTAAAAGGGTGTGTTTTCAAAAATGGTGGTACATATGACATAGTATATGAAAAATAATAATGAATAAAATACTTTATAATACATACTGAGTATCCATGTCAACTTTGCCATACAACTCTAGTTGTGTGTACCATATAAACCACAACTGCGTTTGTGTACATAATAAAAACATTACTGATATTAAGGTTGCACCTCTTACACTAGAATTTTTTTAACCAGCAACATTAAACCAAAATATTCTTACCTGAATTTCAAAATTAAACAGCAAGGATAAGTATTCTATTTTGTCACATCGTTGTGAGAGCAAAAGAAAAAGAGGTGCAAAATGAATGTTTCTTCCTCAGTGTCGATGTCCCTTGGGTTCTGCAAACAGGATACCAGGCAGATTCCCACTCAGCTTTATATATATATATCTCTGGAAAAACCACAATATTCTTCGTAGCCACATACTTCATGGTAGGGCTCCATGAACACATTCTTTTTAGACTTCAAAGACCTTATCCCATAAAGAAGGGAGTTCAGGCTTCCCTGCAGCTCTTGGTCAACTTCTTCATAACCAAACCTGATATCAACACTAATACTCCTACAGAGGTTCTCAGTTTCATGACCTAAACACTCTAAATAAGGTTAAGATAAAGGACTAAAATATAGTGTTACAGAATAAAATAACAGATTTTCTTATGCATCTTTTGGTCTTCTGGGCAAGGCAAATTTGAATCTCTTCGTATCATTTAAAAATGCAGCTATTCTTGGTCTGGCTGCCATCTGATTGTAATATTTTCTAAGTTTTGGAAAATCTTTTAGTACATGGACTGACATGGCATCAGGATACTCCTCAAACCTTCCAAATTCCATATTGCTGTCCAGCTGATCAAACAGCAAAAAGTCCACCCAAGTGAGGCGGTCATTGACAAAGAAAGCTTCATTCTGAAAATAGAAAATATGCAAAAGAATAAACTTCTTTTTGGCTCACAAAAAAAACGTGAGTAAAAAATGTCACCTAAGAATCTTATCTGACTTAGTTGAAAAAAATTTTAAAGGTTTGCTTACTGCCATCAAAGTTCAGGGAGGCCTCTAAATTTCAACTTTTGTGAAACAAGCCCATGTGTGATAAATTACTGTCAAGATGTGGGCTTAATATTACAATTTTTGTAGGTGTACTTCAAATATACATACATTAATGGAAAAATCTGATACATAAAAAACTTATCTGTGTTTAAATAATGAAAGCAGTTACCTCCTTCTATATAAAGCTACAACATATTTTCAATGATTTAAAAATATTTTTCACATTTTTCAATATTGTAAAATAACAATGCATTATACAAATACCAGGTTAACCACATACCAGTTTTGATAATGGAGGTGCTAATTTTTCAAAATATCCCAACCATACTGGTAATGTTTCATTCAAGTATTGTTCTCTGAGTTTGAGGCTGAAGTCTGGGTTGTGCAGAACCTCTGCCAATTTGGCCCTGAGATCCTCTTGAAAAAATATAAGGTGAAAATAAACAGGTTAATATTTAAGTAAACTACTATTTACACATTAAGGACAAAACCAATAAACAAGACTAGCAAATATACAGACATTAGACAATTTTTTAGATTAAAAAAATCAACAAAACATTTAATGGCATCTATGCATCAATTTTTTTTTCCAAAAATTCCTCATATACCAAAAAGCAAAGGGAAATTTTGAAAAAAAAGGGCTTAACAAAAACTGAAATTGATCATTTCAAATATTGTCCATGGTCATGTCTTGAAAACCAATAGACTGTGACTCATTACGTTACAATATGCAGCAATAAAAGAAAAAGTATTCTTCACCAACAACCAAAGTAATTGTATAAATACCTTGACTAAAATACTGTCTAAATACAATCTTTGCAAAAATCTATTTTAAATTGTTAGTGTACTCTTAACATCAGAGTAACAGTACATAATGTTAGGTCATAGCCATGTACAGAACTTTTACAGAAATAAATAAATATTTACATATATATATATATATAAAATCCAGTAAATTTGAAATGAAATTAATATAAATTGTTTGACATAGGGTGACTTAGTCACAGTCACCCCAGTGGCAAAATCATGGACATTAGCTTCACCTGTTCCTTGTGCTAAAATTTCACACATGTGCATCATATCACAGTCACAGTCCATGCCTGTTGTTCTGCCCAGATAGTGCATGATTGCATGGCTCTGAGAGAGACCAACTCCTGAAGATGGACTTTCTAAATATGGCACTAGGAAAAAAATAAAATAAATAAAGATTTCCTATGAAAAAGAAAGAATGTGTGATTTGCTGACATTTGCAATATTAAATAAAAAGTAGACATCCCTGCTGCAATAAAGGTTTATTTCTAGATAAGAAATACAGTTTACAAGTACATGGACAGAGTACTCACAAAACTGACTGGTACAATGACATAACGTGAACTGTAGACTTAATGCAGATCAATACATGCACAGGTTATATTTGCTTCATTCATAACCATTTTGTCTTCTTAGCAAAATAAATAGCAGTTCTATTGGATAGCTATGGATTTCTCTCTTAACCATTCAAAAGGTCTGCAAATTGTTCCTAAATAGTACACAAATCTATTAATGAATGTAGAGTTACTCACAAATCTGGAAAACTCTTACCTTGTCCAAATAAATATTGTCCATTTTTTACACCCTTCTGTTTTGCTTTGCTCCACTGTACATCTTTGAAATTGTATTCTGTGTACGAGATTTGTGCTTCAGTTAAAAGTAGTCGTATGGCTTCTCCTCTTCCCCTTAAAATACACAAAATTACTTACATGTCAGTAGTCCATGGATTAATAATAAAGGAACTGAATGTTTTTAAGACTCATCAAACTGAACAAATTATTCGATTTAACATGCATTAATTTTTGCAATATTTTTTGACAATTGGAATAAGAGAAAATTTGAACTTCATTTGTTAATTTTTAAAGTGGGTTGTCAATCATGCTTTCCTTTACCTCACTGGAAAATAGTGTAGTGTTACATTGCTAAGATCCGGCAGGGGCATGCAGCCAGTCTTCCCATAGTACAGATAAAACAATGTTCTGAAATTTTAAAAAATCAATATAGATAACAACTTATGGGTCAAATCCGTAAGCATATAAAATATGTTAACAACTTGAAAATCCATTCTATAGTATGTGAATTTTTTGTATGTATGCAATAGCTTTTCAAGTACTAGCATGTGTACATACTTGAAATACTATTGCATACACGGAAAAAATTCACAAATATATTATAAAATAAATTTCATTTTAATTTAGTGATTATAAATAAATACAATTCTACAAAAGAGGCTGCCAGAAAAATCATTATAAATGTTTATGTTGCAGAATATCAAATGGCATATTTGCAGGGAGACACAGTTAAACAGTGCGTCTCATACTGATTGCTCATCATCATGTCCTAGGAAATGTATGAACATGAAAGCAAGGCATTATTTTCAAGGGGAATTCAAGATTGCACTTAGATATCTTGACATTTACATGACACCAGACACCAAGTATCTGGGTTAGGAAAACAGTCTGTTGCTGCCAAAGAACTAAACTTGTGAGCACTATATGTTTTGTACCACTTTATGACTGTGGGCAATTATTTCATTTTATTTATTTATTTTTTTTTACTTTTACTTTTTACTATGAGAAGTCCTTATGCATTTAATCAGAATTCAGTCTAAATGTAGTAGAAAATACCTGACAAAATAGGGATAGCACACTCTTGTCATGCCAATCAATGTATGGAGTATTACACTGGATAAGAAATCAGGTGTTTGCTGAAGTTTGTCAAGTTCAGTTCAGTTTGCTGGGTCATTAAATTAGTAATATTTTTTCTACATGGGAAAATATGTGGGCCAATGTCAGGCTCATCTATGCTTCAAGTAAAGTGTGTATATCACTATGCCTCTGTGGGAAATGTGTATACATATGCATCTTTGTTCTTGTCCTATTGCATGTGATTGAACAAAGGTCGTGCATGCATGTTTGCATGTCTGTGGGTATTTGTGCAAGCATGCATGTGCATACCTGCACAATCCAAATTTGCACTTTTATAAATGAGCAACTCAAGCACTATAGAAAAATGTGTGCTCTGCTTCACTTATATGCATTGCATACATGCCAACACCTGTTAAAGATATGTTCTTTGCCAAAGGTTATTACTCTCTGGAAAATATATTAGAGCCAAAAGCAATTACTGCTTTCACTTTCAGATCAGATTACTTAGTTAACTGTGCTGGTGTAATCAACAACACTGTTAGAAGAAGTCACCTATTCAGGTGTGTTGGTACAACAGGCAAAGTTAACAATTTACAAAAAAAATGAAGAATACTAATCAAACCTGTCCTGGCTACCTGTCCATAATGTACCCATTTGGTATTGATACTAAAGATTTAGTATTGATATAAAGAAAACCTGATATAATGTTGATATGACACTTGTAATCAAACACAAAGCAAAAACTAAGCTACATAAAGAAGGAATACAAATATCAGCATGACTACCGGGCTTTTAAGTTTAAAATTGCAGTAATACTTGGAATTCCAATGTCTACACCATGATTAGAACCTTTCAACTCTAATCAACAGTGGCGGACACCAGATATACCCGATATATATTATACCAAGTAGATATACTGTATCATTTTAACAGGAACAGATGAAAAAGGGGGGGGGGGGGGATACAAGCTTAAACCAGCCGTACCATATACACAAAATAGAAAATTTTGTGTATTTGTTGAGCTCACTCAGAAATGTATTGCATAAGTAATGCATTGAAATGTATATTTTTGTTTAGCAATAGTGCAACTTACATGCTATCCAGTCTATCAGGCTGTTGCTCCTACAACTGCATGGTAGGGTTTTAACAAATAAATTCACACATTTTAGTATCACTTGCCATTGTGTTCATAGTGCTTTTCTATTAATAAATCATCAATATGTTTGAGCAATATAATGTTGACCACCCTGCAGCTGGCATATACTGTTTCACAGAAGCTTTCTTTAGTTGGATACCTTACCCAGTCCTTTATTCTTAAATTATTGATTGGCAATGGCCTAGGTGAAAGAAGAAATAATCAAGAGCTAGGGCATGCAGTTACCAACAAACAAATGAATATTCGAGCTGTTTGCCAGTGTAGACCCCTGTGGTACTGGTCAGTGGTTCACCACACTGTAGCACCTTCTCTTATCTGCCTTTGCCCAAGTCGATCCCATTTGCCACTACTGGCACAAGACACCTTTACAAGGGAAACGAGGGTATGCCGCAGAATGTAAGGGGTACATAAAATAATTGAACAGATAGTGAATGCATTAAAACTTATCTAAATTTTTCTTAATTAAATCACCCATTTGCACAATCTTACTTGGATAACCAAGACGCCTTCCCGCTGTATAAAATCGCTAAAATACCGGCGATCCCCACAAACAAAAGCTGCAAGCTTGCCATCCTGGGGCTGCCCCGGGCCGAAGGTCAATTTTGTCATTTTGATTTTTTTCACAATATATCTGGATACCAATTGTTATAAAATAAAAGTTTTATTTTAATAACAAAATATGGATATTTTTCATGATTAAACCATTGTGAATTAAACAAAAAATTCTTGCACTTTCACTGCGGGCCTAGATATCGATATTCAACATGGCGGTGAATTTCCCACCGCTTCCCCAGGTTGGTACATTTTTCAATATTTTTCTGCTCACAGGCTTAATTGACATATGGCCATACATGCAGATGTAAGCTTTTCAAATATGAGCAATGTAATTTGCAACCGATTGGCGTACAGTGTTATATGTTTTGCACAAACACGTCTTCATTCCAGGCTAAACTCAGATGCCTGAGGGTACCCGCCCATACGGTGCAAATACCATCCTCACTTTCCCATGTGTTCATCTTTCAATACATTAACCACGAATGTGAAAATCCTCCATTTCACCAATGTAAATAATGCCTATTTTTTTCGGTTTTGTAACATACTCCAAATGGGAAATGTTATGGATAATAAGTAATGGACTGGTGCAGAACTTGAATTGAGTGTTGAAGTGGTACAGCTTGATCTATTTAATCGTGATAAATATTTTGATTGCATTTCTTATCAAAAAGTTAGTACCATATGGTGAGAATGATCAGTATGTCATTAAAATTGTTTGGAATAATTATGTTGTTTTTCTTCTGCTAGGCACCACTGCCATTAAGCCCCATAACATCATTTCGCATTTATTAGATTATATAGCATATGCTTTACATAGCATTGGATTTCATCATTGTTTATTTAAAGTCCTAAGAAAAATATTCCAGTTGAATTTTCACGTGCCCATTAAATGATGTTGATTTATTAAGCTCTTTACATTTACAGTGTCATGTTGTGATAAAAAAAATTAGTGTAATTAAAATATTATGTTGGTAACTGTCCTTTTAGCTTATTAAAGAGAATCCAGTGGAGAATGACATTTCTGAATTCAGCTTTTGCTACCCTTTAAACACTTAATTGCACAGTATCATTTTGACCAAGTACATAATGATAAAGACAATAAATTTATGATTTTGAAAAGTTAACATGGGGATTTAAAAAAAAACAAGCTGTCTGTTAGAATTTTTATAGAATAAAAAATCTCAAATGTTGTCCAAGATGCCACAATATAAGATCTGATGCATCATTATTATTTAGCCATGTTGTGATATTTTATAATATGTATATCCGTCCCTTTAGTGTACAATACTAGTAAGGATATTTTGATCATAAGTTATTTTTCCCATATGGATACATGATACTATCATACTAGTATTTTTTAACCTTTTTAGCATCATACCATGAGCAATATTGTCACCAAAATCGGAAAAAATCTTGGCATTAAATATACATTTTCATCACAAAATTTATTTCATCAGGTTTATACTGTCCATTTAAAATAATTATTAGAGAAGAAAAAGCACAAATGTAATAGTAAGATGTAATTTTCAGTGGTTCACATTCATTTCCTACTTTTCATTTTCAGCATTCAGAATAACTACTTTATTAATCATAGTTCTCCATATCTACATTTGTCCCAGTTTCTTTTTCAGGTGCTCATGTATAGTACATTTAGTTACAAAAATACAATATGTTATATTTTAGGTTGCTGGGGCACACAGTTCTACTTATGAAGCATATTTTCAACAGGTATGTATCTGGAATGGTTTAGACATGAAGTATAAAAATATGAGATCATGAAGGTTATCAGATATCAAGTTCTAGTAAATAAAGGTATGTCAATTTTTAATCATACACAAGCCATGCACTGTCTAGTAGGATGATATCATATGTCCTCATTCCTAGCACACACGCAAGAGAGCTTTGCATGATTGTGGATGTGACTGGTGGATACAACTAGTACTGTATAGTAAACCATCATTCTTAGAGTGCTTTGGAAAGATGCCACGCGAAAAAAAAACTTGGAAAATATGTCATTGGTTTAGAAAAAAATGTTGTTGTTTATATAATAAATGTTAAAGGCAATACTATGTGTTACATTTAGACAACAGACACAGACAGTATGTTCGATGTTATATTTATGAATTGTATGTGTACAGCATTACAGTGAATGGATCAATACCGTTACATAGCAGGGTATTTGTTAGTTATACTCAAAAGTGTGTATATGAGCCAAATTACGCCTAAGGGACAGGCAGCAGAGCCAAAGCTTTTGGTAAATCATTCTCTGGGTGATTTTAAAACAGATCTAGCTGTGTTAAGGGATCTCATGCTGTTATTTGTCCAATACCAGAAAAGATTATAAGAGCATTCTGTTTGTCTCAAGAGCAGAATTTTTGCTTATCTCAGTGTATCATGGAAAACTAAGGTTTAATGTGCATTTTGCATTTATAATCTACATTTGTACATTATCTTTTTAGGTTTTGAGTCGTAACGAATGTGAGAGTGTATGGGTTGGCTTTTATTTGCCTCTTCATATATCACTGCTTAGGTTATTGACTTAGTCCAAATTAGCAAAGATAATGTCAACAATTTTATTTGGCAATTCAAATGCTTGGAGCTAAGTCCATTACCATGTGTGCATAGGGATAAATACTCAGTACATAGGTTATCTATGTTGTAACCACATTTATTATTAAATGAAGTTCTGATGAGTGATCTGATAAAATTATTGAAATTAAAAATTGTATCATGAAATAAATTATTGTCACAATATTATTTCAATTTCTTTTTTAATTCGTCATAGTAAATTTCATACCTGTAGGTTTTACAAGATTGGGCACATCATTTTATAATCTAAAGGTATCATGTATTTTAGTTTCTTATGGGTTTGCTTGATTTACCTCAGTTGCTTCCCTGCACTTATACTGAGTAAAAGATAAACGAAAAGAAAAAAAATGAATTGAAATCTTGAAGCAGGGCTTGACATTATCAGTGGCCAGGGCTAGAAGACTGCAAGGCTGGACAACTTATGGTTAAAAAATTTGTGGTACAGTTTAGAATTGATTTTGTCATAGGCAGTTTTTTAATTACTAGTTTTTCTAAACCCTTCTGACTTTGAAATGGCTGGTCCATTGAATTATGTTTAAAGTTATTTATAAATGTTATAACTGATACAACTTCTTTCATCAGAAATTTTACTTAAAACTACCATAAACGATCTCGTTTTATTGCTATGGATGATGAATAATTGACTGATGGACAGTCATCTTGCAAGCTGCAGGAGTCCTCTGTGTGCCAAAGTAAGGGGTTCAGATAATAGACCTCAGGCTCTGATATCTAGTGTATGGCAATCATTCCAAGTGATATTGCAATCATACCAAATATTGAGTATTTTGAGACTATTTTGAAAAAAAGGTCATTATATTGTGTGCATCAGAATATTTTTTTTCCTTGGGAAATCGGTTTGTTCTGAACTTAGTTTCCTTAGCTACCAAAGAAGGGAAAGTTTTCTAAAACCTGTGTTTGTTAATTCCTGTAAAAATTGTGTACTAGTACACCTTATTGATTCAAGAATTTTGGTGAGTCACACACATCTTTATGGATTACTTACAAGTATAACTGAGGAAGACGGCATTGCTTCATCAGAGCTGGCTGGCGTGTTCTTGGCACGTTATGTATAACCTATACCACAAAGAAGACCTACATCCTGAATATACAGATAATAACAGGATATTTTATAAGCAATAAATCACTTGCATGCCAATTTAAAGTGCACATACCCAAACAGAGAATTGACATTTAAAAGGTAAATGTCTCAGCAGAATACAGATTCTGTCATTTTTCATATTTTGCAAATGTTCAATAGTGTTTAACTGATGCTTGCATTTGATTTGTCATTTGTTTGCAGAAATATGTAATAAAACTGTATGTTTGTATAAAACAATATTAACAAGTACATTTTTCTATTTGAGACCTTATACAGTTTTCCTCAGAACAGTTGTATGACTTTATGAAAATATACAAATCACCTTCAATGCAGTATAAAAAAAGATGAAATTGGGATCTGTAATAAACTACATACATATATTTAAAACATTTTAGTTGAACTATAATTGCTAATAGATGACGAATTTGTTAGTAAATAGAGTATGATTATGTGCTAATTACACCGAGTGCCGGTCCTAAATTGTAACTAATATTAATTTTTTTCTCTTGATTTCCCCAGGCTGACAGTAATGGAACTGGTGCTGTTGGTGCCATGGAAGCAGCTAATTTTATGAAGAAGTCTGGACTTAAAGAAAAAACACTCTCACAGGTGAATATAGTCCTGATTGACAGATGCATGTTAAAACTGCCCGTGCGATTTGCATAGATGTGTATAACTTAATGTAGTTTAACTTTACTGAATATGGCATCTAGCATTATAAAATTGAAAAATGAACTTGCACCTTTTTTCCTTTTTTACTCAGTATAAAAATGTTAAGCATTCCAATTTATAACAATACTGAAATAAATCATAAGTTTTAAAAAAATTCCTTTCTCTATAGATTTGGGATCTGGCAGACCCCGCAGGAAAGGGTTACCTGGACAAGCATGCATTTTTTGTGGCCTTAAAGTTCATTGCCATGGCTCAGAATGGATTAGAAGTCTCTATGGCCAACATAGGTGCTCATACGCCACCCCCCAAAATGGTACGTACCCTACTTTTTCGCTTCTTAGAAAGCTTTCTTTTTTTTTAAAAAAAGCAAACTTTTTTTTGGGGGGGAGTGGCTTGACTGTTTTGTTCAAAATGGATGTTAACTCATATTGTCAGTAGTAATATAATATGTGATTTTCCAAACTGATAAGTGCTGTGCAAACATTATTAGAGTACTATATCAGTACTTACATCTTTATATTAGAATTTTGTACCATGAATGAAATGTTTAAAGCAAAAAGTTGTAATTAGGGCAAATTAGTAGTATTCCTTGGGAATAGACATTTTCATTTATAGCAGTGCAATGACCAGTTGGGGTATTTCAAAAATACAGATATTTTAGATGGAAAATGAATTGAGTGGGTGCTTTATTCCAAGTATTCAAGCATGTCATCCAGTCAGGTCTCCTGAAGCTGAATATTGGGGGTGAGGGGGTGGTTGATTGGTTTAAAAACTCTACTGTCATTGAACATTGATGCAGATGCATGTGGCTATCATAGCCTATAAGGTAGTAGAGAGGCATGCATGTACAATTTTTCATTTTTTTCCTTTTTAAAAAAATTTATGTCAGATTGCAAGGGTGCCTTTTACGTTAACACTTCATGTCAGCATATCAAAAATTAAGTTATGGCTTACATTAAGTTGGGTCTAAAATCTTCATTTTGTTAGTCTGTTTGTCATACATTTTTACATTCTGGTCTAACCCTATTAAGTTCATGACTATGTTAATCAAAAACTTATGCACGGGTGAGCTTAGCCTCAAAGAATCTAGCATACATTTATGGAGTAAAAATTTTCAATAATCCCTTAGTGCTGAAGATTGCATAAACGTGTGTTCTTAATCATCTCTCACATAAAGGTGATCCAGGTAGATCTGTGATATACTAGTAGTCTTCTTCATGGCAGTAAAGGATTATGATTAATACTTTCATTTACCCTGGGGTGTCATGGTGTTGTGGTCTCAATAGTGCTTCTTTGAAGCATTTTCTCAGGGGAGAAGCAGTGCGAAATAAGTTGATGTCTGTTTTTATCAAGTGATATTAAAGCTGCAGAGATAGTATTAATTTTCTGTGGAAATGGAGAGTTGTTGCATTAAATCCTAGGCTACAAAAAGAAGATTTTCAGTAGTGAATGTAATGAGTTGCCCTTAATGCTGTTGTGAGTTTAGAATCTTACTTTATGAATTTTATCCTGTAGAAAATGTCTTTTTGATTGTTTTCACAGCTCATAATTTTGCGTATAAACATACTTTAAGTAAAATGATCTCATGGGTGTTTGTCATAAGAATTATTCACTCAGCCCAAAGCCACATTATGTAAAGACTTTATCTTTCAAAAAAAAAATTGTTTCCTGTGGCCATTTCAAGTGAGTAGCAGTTATGTGCAAACTGATAAATGAACTTGTTCGCCTTTTTGAAAAGCGAGCAATTAATAACCTTGATGAATGGGCATTTCAGTATAAGATTAGAAGCAGTTAGTTTTTGAACTGCCCAGAAACAAAACTGAATCCACCTTTGGCCTGGAATAATGATAGCCTGCACACCATTAACCTGACTACGCCTTCCGAGTTTCCAGTGGTCGTGTTTCAGGCTTAGTAAGTGGTGTTGCAGTTCCCTCTTTGACTGCTCTTCCATGTGTGGGCATAGCTCTTTGCTGACTGGCCAGCATGAAGAAATGCAGAAAAAGTGTGACTTTTACAGCTTTATGTACATATGTAGGTAGATTGATGATTGGTTGTGTCTCATTGGAAATTTATTTGATGATTTATGTATGTACATATATAAATGCATCTATGTAGGTTTGCATGATTGTTGTCAATAGTTTTTAATATATTTTTCTGACAGATTTTGTTTATGGGTCATGCAGAAAAAATGCTGACCAGAAAGAAATGAGAAGGGCGTAGATTGTGAATTAAATGAACACATTAGTAATGGAAAGGAAGGGGAAGGAACAGGAATGTTCTTTACATAATTATTTGTTTTGAAATTGATACATATTTAAAGCAGAGATGAAAATTTCAATGGCATCCTGCTTTATATACAATTGTCATTACTGTGTCAAAGGTTATCAAATAAACGGTACAGCGGTAATTGATGCTGGTGTCAGTAGGAAGGGGTCACTATAGGTAGTTAAGGGAGGTGAAAAATAATGTGTGGTATGCATTAAAAATAATGTATGTTTGTATGTGAATGATAGTAGCTGGTGAGGGTGAGAATATACTCCTTGAGTGGTCAATGATAACATAGTAGTAATGTCTCATTTGTGGTCAATATTTATATTTATTGATCATTATTATCTATTTAAATGAGATAACAATTAAGATAAGATATTGTGGAATAATTGCAAATGAACAATGGATATTTACCCATTTCTGTATGATCACCACATGTTGTACATTATAAGGTAATTGACTATTTAGATGGCTATATCATGTTTTATAATGTATACATTATATTATGCATAAATAATTGATGTGTGTAAAAAATGGAATTGAATCATTTACCTGATTTGATTCAAGCTCTTGTAAGTCATCTGTATGCTGTAAACACAATAACGTAATTACCTGCAGCTGGTGATCACCCTGGGTGTCAGTCTGGTGACAGTGGCTGAGGTCTATATCTCTTAGTGTTAAGCCAGCTGGTAACATTTCTCTGACACTCAGGGTTTCTGATGAATAACCATTCGTTAGTTGATGCCATTTTTACACATTTACTTTAAATTCAGGTAGGATGTATTGGCAGATATGTTTAACCTAATGAACCTTTTTATGTTTTTTTTTCCAAGTTGAGCTTATAACTTGAGCACATCACAGTATAGTCGTATAGCCAGGAAGAGTTTATGATCGAAGCGTTGTACTAAAATACAAGATTATTCATTGTCACTTAGACATATTTCTAATAATTTCAAATGTTATGTTCCAGGGAGAACCAGCAAGTCCTGCCATGCAGCCTTTAGGTGCAGCTCCAGCAGACTGGGCTATTAAGGTACGCACTTGGGTCTCAAAAAGTCTAAACTCTGGGGTTTACCATGAACAATAAGGACAGATTATACTGTTGCATCAAAGATACATTAAGACAAATTTGCTTGTTCGAGCTGATGAATTAACCGCAGGGTTTTTGGGGTAGTAAATTGTGATATCACTTACAAAGAGATCTCCCTCACCCAAACAGCTATCAAAGACGTTTAATTGTCCATTTAAACAATGATTTCTACGATTTGATGCCAGGGAATTTTTTGTGAAAGGCTTATGGTTTTATCAGCAAAGCGGCAAAATAATGTTTTTGTTTAATGGAACATTATAATTAGAAGCATGTACCAGATTATAATTCACATTCTAATCATCAACCATGCCAACTTCCATGTTAATATCCTACTTAGTTTAGCAAAAATGTGCATTATCTTGGTTACTAGATTATATGTGATAATTATTTTTTAAAAAATGCTAAAATATTTTTAAAGCGTTAGCTTACAGCCAACCTGGATATTAGTAGATTAATAGGTTGCTCACTGACCCCTAGGTGGTATAGTGACCAAGACCCTCTTATAAATGTCAGGTAGATCAATCTTTCCCCCCCCCCCCCCCCAATCTTTATTCATATGTGGCTTGCAATGGCTCATGCTGATAGCCTCTCATATATTCCATGGGATGTTGGATGACTTGGATTCAGGGATCTTGGTTTGGTTGACTTTGGTTGATTTTGCCAAATGTAGGCCTTTATTACATATCAAACCCCTTAAGTTTGACTGTTTACGTAATGTGGCTAGCTTATGATTATGTGGAGTCAGTTTTGTGACAGTGGTATTGATCTTGGATGATTTTATGAACAGTCTCCCAATAAATGTATATAATGTTGACATTTTTAAATGAGTTATTGAGATCCCAAAAAGTAGCATTGTTGAGACAGGCAGTTTTTTTCTTTAGGGGCAAAATTAAAAGGCTGAAAAATGAAGAGAGCAGCATTTCATATCTTTTCAGTCATAGGACATCTTCCTTGTAGGAAGATATTCAGATGTTTTTTAGGTTAGTCATTGCAGATGTCATGAGAAGGCACTACTTCATGGTATAGACTCATTGAAAAATCTTTTTTTCAGTCTCATCATGTTATGCTTTTGTGGAGGGAGCCCTTTGTTTATAGACTAAGATCTACAGGACCTTTGCTGATACCGCTTGTCAGCTTCAATTCTTTTGTGTTGATCAATAGTAAAACTTTGTACTAGGTTGGACTTCTAGTTATTATCTACATCTTGCACTAAGGGAGTTCCATTAGATGCAATATATCAAATGGAATCCTTTGGGGAGAATTGCTAAAATATGAGAATTATTGGTTAATGGCTGTGTCATTTGGTTAGTTAGTATAGACTAATGGATGTACATTTTCTGTAATTTGAATGCAGCACTTTGTGTATCAAACATTCATATGTTTATATCTGATTGAGGAATTTGTGTAAAAAAGCATCATATTCCATGACTTGAATTGTGAATAAGGTGTATTATGGTACGAAAAGAATGCTATTTTTGATAGTATGGAAGTAGATGTAATGACAATTTGTTAAATTCATGAAAATCACATTTTTCAGTTGTTTGGATCCATTCGGAAAGACATCACTTGATAATAATTATAATTTCTGGTGACCGGTTTTGCTAATTGGAATAATTATTTTGATGATGAGCAGTTTGGATCCATCACCCATGTATGATGGAACCCAGAATGCAGTAAGTGGCATGGCACTAAAGGAGACACATGTGGGATCATTTTAGGATGAAATAATCACCTGAAATGAAATTACATGTTCTAAATTTAGATAATGTATTGATTTGGTCATATCCAATTACTTGAAACTTTTTCATTCTATCTCAGACGACAGAAAAGGCCAAATATGACCAGATATTTGATGGACTCCAGCCTATTGATGGGAAGCTCTCTGGGGATAAAGTCAGACCAGTAAGAGAAATCAGTTTAAGAATCAGGCACATGTTTTGTTAGTTGATTAGAATCAGTTTGTGGAAATGCTAACAAGCTAATTTGAATAAGTTTAATGCAATACTGTTGTTATGATGGAAAGGTTAAAACTTTCACTTTTATTTAAATGTCAATGTACCATTTTATATTGTATTGTATGAACTACAGTTCCACATAAAGATTATTAACAAAAAAGTCTGTATGGTTGAATATTTATAATGTGGCAACTTTTTGGGGCTTTTCCATATAAATCTGCCCTTATCATATAATACAGTGGCACAGTAATATATATGACCCCATTTTTTCAAAGTTTTCTGTCTTTTCAAGTTAAATACCTTGAAGAAACTCATGGTTTATGAAGACATACTTTGTTAAACAAGATAAATTCCATGTATGACCAGGCCAAAGTACTTTACACAGAAAGAATTTTATTGCATGTTGCATATAATGATGCAGAATACTGCTAATGGAAATTGATACCTCTGCTTTCAGATGCTGTTAAATTCAAAACTGCCTGTAGATGTGTTGGGGAGGGTGTGGGACCTCAGTGATATTGACAAAGATGGACAGTTAGACAGAGAAGAATTTGCTATTGTGAGAAATGTTCAACTCATCTTTAGCTGTGCCAATTATATTGATGATTTCTCTTATATATGATATTTTAAATATAGAGCATGTTATTGTTGTTGCATTCCACTCTTTGAAATAGCTTTTCATGTAATTTTTATCTAAATATTTACAACCAATGAGGCCAAAAGAGACAAAGGTCATGATTTTCTCTTGATATATTAGACAAATATATTATAAGTGGCTTGTATAAATTTTTGATGTCAGTAATATGGATCCAAACCTCACCATGTGTTACCATGAAGCCCAAACATCTGTTCTCTATAATCCACAATTCTCTGAACTGCTGTCATATACCTTCCATTAATCAGGCAATGCATTTAGTGTACCGAGCTCTAGAAAACGATCCAGTCCCACCAGCTCTTCCCACAAATCTAGTCCCTCCCTCCAAGCGGCGTAGCCGTGCCAACAGTGGTGTCAATCTTCCTGGTGCTGTCCCCGTGTTACCCAGCATGTCTGGGGGCGGGGCTCCAACACTGCTCCCAGGGAGGTCCAGTCCAGCCATGGGAAGCACTGCAGCTTCTACAGACTTACATTCAGGGGTAAGGTGTAATGTCTCCTCAGACAAGGTTTCTTTGGAATTTGAAGATGTTGTTTTCTTTTACAAAGTTGTGTTATTTAAAGGGTCTGAAAGGGTTAGAGGTAATTGTTTTTATAAAAGCTAAAATGACAGCTACAATTTTAAGAAATTTCAATCTGTCATCAATTTCAAAAGTCTGGATGGTCATGTCAAATTAGGATTGAAAGTTTTATGCAAGTTTGTATTCAATTATAAGCTAGAGTTCATTATTCTCAAGCATTTTTCATTTTCATTTATTGAATATTTTAATTTCTCTTCAAACATCCACTTTCAGATGACAAGTCCTGGCCCTCAGCTTCCCTGGGTCGTACCCCAAGCAGAGAGAGCTAAATTTGAAGCACTGTTCAAGACAGCTGATAAGGATATGGATGGCTTTGTCCTGGGAGGGGAGGTGCGGGATATTTTCATCCAGAGTGGGCTGTCACAGCAGGTCTTAGCACACATATGGTAAGAAAACACATTGTGTTAGTTGAGATGACAATGAAATTGCATCGATTTCTTTTTTTTTCTCAGTGTGTTAGTTCAGATGAATGATAATTGTGCTGTTTGTGATTTTTTTCCTGCTGGTGCTTAATGTTTCAGGTTCCTGAGTGATTTTACTTCTGGTTGAAAAGTATTCATTTATGTTTAATTTCCGTAGTTGTAACCAGTTTCATATGTTATTCATTTGTGAGTGTGTTAGTTGAAGTGAATGTCTTAATTTTGCTGTGTGGTGTATTTCTGCTGGTGCTTAATTTTTCAGGCTTCAAAGTGGTTGACAAATTGACGAGCTGGTTGACAAGTAATCTTATATTAAAGTCATAATTTCATACATTTATGCAATACAGTGTAGAAATTAATCCAGACTACAGTTTATGATTATTATTAATATTTTTCATTTGACCATACAAAATTTAGTCTTTTTTTTCATATGTTATTCCTTGCAGACTTGCAGTATTTGTACTTTTTTGAGACATTTAAAAATTGTAATATGAAAAGCTTGTTCATTGGTCACTTTATGTGGTTATTGAATACAATTTGCATTTTCACGATTGCTTTCTTTATTACCAGGACGTTATGTGACATTAAAGGGACAGGGAAATTGAACAGCGACCAGTTTGCTCTTGCCATGCATTTGATCCAGCAGAAACTGAATGGTGTTGAACCTCCACAAACACTTGCCCCAGAAATGATCCCACCTTCCATGAGGGAGAGGTCTGGAAGTTTGGTGAGTGTTTCCCTATATATATGTTTTGTGTATTGTATTGTATTATATTATATTATTTAGCACAAAGTCATTGCACCATGCATTTAGTAGACCACTCCTTGCCCACATGTTTATTAAATGATAGAAAATTAAGTATAAAAACATAATTAACATTATAGAAAATACTGCACTTGGTCCTAGTAGAGCTTAGCTAGTTTATTGTAGCTAATTTGTAGTTTTGTCCTTTAATACTGAAAGACCTGTTTGTTTGCACTGCAGCAAATATAGACATCTTCACATGTATATGAGGTTTTCTTCAGTTTTCAGGATACTCTTATATATCTCATGTTTGTCCTAATGGTCGCTTCATTCTTATTACAACTTAATCACCATAAGTGCAGCAGGATATGAAACAATTATTTGCCTTTAACGTAGTCTCTTTTGGTTTCTGGCCTTACAGAGACAACATCCAATTACAATTATAGAGAATACAACCAAACCAAAGCCTGCCAACACTATATAATCTTTCAGATTTTCGTTTCCTCTTTCCTTTACTATTATGCGAATGGCGGCTACCAAACGACCCTTTTCCCAGCAACTGAAAAACAAGCAGAGATTTTCTGCAGTTGGTTACATGTGTCTGGGTTGGCGCTAGCAATTTTTTTCACTAAGCCAAATCATCATTTTTTTGTCAATTTGTTTTCCAAATGGTGTTAACTTGACTAAAATGAATCAAATCAATCCCTTTTTGTTAAGCCAATTTAAGTCAATTTTAGCATTTGGCTAAATTGGCGAGTGTTAGCGCTACCCCAGTGTGTATGTAGCGATATTCCATTTGAAGTATACTGCTGATATTTTGTGTTGTCATTATCTTATTTTATTTCTAGATTGTTATTGATTTTATATCTGTTACATTTTCTTTTAAAAAAAGGCCTGCTTGATTTTTCTTGGTGAATGCAAATATTTACCTGTATAAACTGGAATCCGTGAGCCGAAGTTTTCTTATATGGAGCCTGTTTTGAACATCAATTTTCACTCTGCCTCTGGTTTGCCTTCTTATAGTAGTTGGGTCATACTCGTCTGTGTTGTTTTGCCATTTTACTATCACATTTGCCTCTGATGATTTGCTGGAATTGGGGTTCACTTTAGTATATAATATAACAATGAAAACAGCACAATGTAGGTATCACAGTGGGTGTCTATTTAACAAAAAAGGAATTTTTTAAAAAGGAATTTTTGCAAAGAAAAAATACTTTGATATAAGAGTTATAACAAAACTCACTGTGGACAATCAAGGATAATATTCCTCTTCATAAATTCATAGATGGTCTTTCTTTTGGCAAGTGGGGGGATGGTGGGCATGTCGTTCAGGGAGAAGTACCCCTCAGCTTGGTTTATGGTCTCAACCACTTTGCCCGTTTCATCTGTGATGGTTTTAAAAGGAGGCAGAGTAGGACAGTAGATGTGGCAGGAAGTGATCAGGATCTCACTCGGCCTGTCTTTGATCTGTCGCTGGCTGCGTAAGAACAGAGACAGCAGGGAGGAGCGACATGGGACCCCACCTGGGTAATATTTTAGCCGTGGAGGCTCCTGAGGTAGCACAGGCTTGTTTATGTCAAGTTTCTGTATTGAAAAGAAAAATATTGATATAAGGGCAATATTGATAATTTAGAGNCCTCTAGTTATTAATATTTTTCATTTGACCATACAAAATTTAGTCTTTTTTTTTTCATATGTTATTCCTTGCAGACTTGCAGTATTTGTACTTTTTTAAGACATTTAAAAATTGTAATACGAAAAGATTGTTCATTGGTCACTTTATGTGGTTATTGAATACAATTTGCATTTTCACGCTTGCTTGCTTTATTACCAGGACGTTATGTGACATTAAAGGGACAGGGAAATTGAACAGCGACCAGTTTGCTCTTGCCATGCATTTGATCCAGCAGAAACTGAATGGTGTTGAACCTCCACAAACACTTGCCCCAGAAATGATCCCACCTTCCATGAGGGAGAGGTCTGGAAGTTTGGTGAGTGTTTGTATATATATATATATATATGTTTTATGTATTGTATTGTATTATATGATATTATTTAGCACAAAGTCATTGCACCATGCATTTAGTAGACCACTCCTTGCCCACGTGTTTATTAAATGATAGAAAATTAAGTATAAAAACATAATTAACATTATAGAAAATACTGCACTTGGTCCTAGTAGAGCTTAGCTAGTTTATTGTAGCTAACTTGTAGTTTTGTCTTTTAATACTGAAAGACCTGTTTGTTTGCACTGCAGCAAATATGGACATCTTCACATGTATATGAGGTTTTCTTCAGTTTTCAGGATACTCTCATATATCTCATGTTTGTCCTAATGGTCGCTTCATTCTTATTACAACTTAATCACCATAAGTGCAGCAGGATATGAAACACTTATTTGCCTTTAACGTAGTCTCTTTTGGTTTCTGGCCTTACAGAGACAACATCCAATTACAATTATAGAGAATACAACCAAACCAAAGCCTGCCAACACTATATAATCTTTCAGATTTTCGTTTCCTCTTTCTTTTACTATTATGCGAATGGTGGCTACCAAACGACCCTTTTCCCAGCAACTGAAAAACAAGCAGAGATTTTCTGCAGTTGATTATATGTGTCTGGGTTGGCGCTAGCAATTTTTTTCACTTAGCCAAACCATCACTTTTTGTCAATTTGTTATCCAAATGGTGTTAACTTGACTAAAATGAGTCAAATCAATCCCTTTTTGTTAAGCCAATTAAAGTCAGTTTTAGCATTTGGCTAAATTGGCGAGTGTTAGCGCTACCCCAGTGTGTATGTAGCGATATTCCATTTGATGTATACTGCTGATATTTTGTGTTGTCATTATCTTATTTTATTCCTAGATTGATATTGATTTTATATCTGTTACATTTTCTTTTTTTAAAAAAAAGGCCTGTTTGATTTTTCTTGGTGAATGCAAATATTTACCTGTATAAACTAGAATCCGTGAGCCGAAGTTTTCTTATATGGAGCCTGTTTTGAACATCAATTTTCACTCTGCCTCTGGTTTGCCTTCTTATAGTAGTTGGGTCATACTCGTCTGTGTTGTTTTGCCATTTTACTATCACATTTGCCTCTGATGATTTGCTGGAATTGGGGTTCACTTTAGTATATTATATAATATAACAATGAAAACAGCACAATGTAGGTATCACAGTGGATGTCTATTTAACAAAAAGGAATTTTTTAAAAAGGAATTTTTGTAAAGAAAAAATACTTTAATATAAGAGTTATAACAAAACTCACTGTGGACAATCAAGGATAATATTCCTCTTCATAAACTCATAGATGGTCTTTCTTTTGGCAAGTGGGGGGATGGTGGGCATGTCGTTCAGGGAGAAGTACCCCTCAGCTTGGTTTATGGTCTCAACCACTTTGCCCGTTTCATCTGTGATGGTTTTAAAAGGAGGCAGAGTAGGACAGTAGATATGGCAGGAAGTGATCAGGATCTCACTTGGCCTGTCTTTGATCTGTCGCTGGCTGCGTAAGAACAGAGACAGCAGGGAGGAGCGGCATGGGACCCCACCTGGGTAATATTTTAGCCGTGGAGGCTCCTGAGGTAGCACAGGCTTGTTTATGTCAAGTTTCTGTATTGAAAAGAAAAATATTGATATAAGGGCAATATTGATAATTTAGAGCTGTAGCTTTTAAACTTATGGTGATTATTTTAATTATAAGCTTAAAAAATATGTGAATTTAAAGTGGTCTTCCCTTAAATGCCCCAGTCAAATGCCCAACAATACTTAAAAGTATTTCAAGGTCATTATCCTAAAGGGAACTGAAGCATTCCTGATGCAACAGATTAGACAAGATCTCTTTGTTCATGTAACTGAATTGAATGGAGTTATTTGGATTGAAATCAGCAAATTATACTATCTCAGTCATGAATCTTGACAATGCATGTCAGGCATGCATTAGATTCAGCAGGTACTGCAGTAAGGTCAATTTAAGTCAGCCTGCCAACCAGAAACTTTCACATTTATCACTTTTGGCTTTTTAACCTTGAGATATCTTTCAATGTTTGAATTATGTCAACCGTTTTTCAGACAGGAGGTCTTTAAAATATAAATCGGATAGAAAAAAGTACTCCAAGGCTGTTCTTGCGGTCCTTTTTTTCAATTTTTTTTTCAATTTTTTTATTTTTATGATGAGCCAGGCATACCTTGACATAACATATTCCTATTCTCCTCTTGAACCCTTGCTCACCGCACTTACTGCACCGACTCCATGCAGACCACAGTGTGAAAGTCAGCAGGTTGAAGGCAGGCAATTCTTGGTCTTCTTTGGGATTTGTGTTGCCTTCAACTTCATCTTGTACCTTATTGTTTAAGGGAAGGAGGAGAAAAATAATTTTGCCCCACAATTAAGCTATTTTATACCAGAAGGTGTAAAAAGTTGCTATAAAATCACTTAAATTTAAAAAGACTTCTCTATACTGACCATTAAGATAATTTTCACTATTATTCCAGCGTAGAGAAAGCAGCAATGTTGCATTAAATTTCAATGAACTCAAAGCATTTATGTTTTGATTAGAATTATAGATTTATTTCATAGTCTTTTCATTAAATTTTTGTCATTTGAAAAAAAATTTAATTACTTACTCGAGTCTTTTTTTCATTCTTGAGAACATCGATGAAATAAGAGGCTTCTAACATACTACCTCTTTGACATTTGTACTGTCCTGCATCTTCCAGACCAATAGACCTTACCACCAGGTTTTGGTTCTCTGACAGGAAAAAGTGGTCCTTGTCTATGGCGATGGTTTCTTCACGAGGTTTAATTAGGAGACTTCTTTTCCACTTAACACCCTCAGTTGTCTTTGTGCTTACAAAATAATTTTTTCATATTGATTTTTTGTTTATTTTGAAAGGGTCAAATTTTTGTGAGGTAGATATCTTTATGCCCCCTTTTTAATGGAAAAAGTGCACTGTGAGTGATATGGATTGTAGAAAATTGCTAAATTTCTTTCATTAAATTAGATAAGTTCAGAATAAAACTGTTTAGGTTTATTAAAAAGATAAGTTGACAAGGTCAAAACTTTTAATTAGAAAGATATGAATATTTCTGTCATTGTAGATCAACTTTTTAATTTTGTAGCGATTTTTTAATGAAAAAATTAAGGAATCTTTAGGACTAAACACAAAACCTGTCATTATTTTATTTGTAGCAAAATAGTTACTGATAATTTTTCTAAGGAAATCATAAGCCATCTCACCACAGCTTGCAAGACAGCTGTATAGTCTGTCCAGCTTCCAAAAGAATAGCCTCCCCTGTGCTGCCATCTCGCATGGCATCCTTGGCAAATTCACAGGCACTATAAGCAGTTACTTGCTGGTTATACACAAGAATAATCGTGGTTGTTAATATTATAACACCAGTCATACTAGTTACTGTCGCACATTGGCCAAATGTGATGGTTGCTGTCATGGAATTACTGGTGTATTATGGGAAATTATTGTGTTGCTCAGAAACCAGTGCTCAGAAACATTGCTGGTTGTCAACATTTAGTGTGGCATTACCCATTGTTGTGTCATCATTTATTCTCTCATTGTTACATCAACAATAACAGTTGCATTATGGGATATTTGCTGTCATAGTTACATCAACAATTACAGTTGCATTATGGGATATTTACTGTCATAGTTACAACAACAATTACAGTTGCATTATGGGATATTTGCTGTCATAGCTACATCAACAATTGCATTTGTATTATGGGATATATTTTGTCATTGTTACATCAACAATTACATTTGTATTTTGGGATGTTTGTTGTCATTGTTACACCAACAAATGGGGTTACAATTGTTGGCATTGTTACATCAGTGGGTCCAGATGTTGAGATATTTGATGTCATTGTTATATATCAACAATTGCAGTTGTATTATGGGATAATTGCTGATCATGATAGTATTACATCAATAGTTTATCTCAGCATAAGTTCACAAAAGTTTGCTCTTGTACCATAAGAAGACATTACTCCTGGCTGATTCAACCATTACTTTTACACCAATTGGATATGGGGCATTTTTGGTCTTTTCTCTTTGTAATATGAGTAGGATTCTTTGCCATTGTTACACAAGCGGTTTGCCTAATTTTAGGACAATTAATGATTTATCAACAGTCACTTATGTAGTCATAGAAGGGCATTGTTACATCACATAGCTACCCTTGGTGTTGTCATCAACCTAATGAAATAAAAATGTGCAGCACTATGGTTCTGAAGGTGCAAGGAGTGGCAGCAAGGACATTTTTGATGGAAAAAGTAATTTTAATTGTTTTTTATAGCCATATTTTTATATTAAAATCAAGTGAAAATGTCTCTGTCATTTCTGTGCCAGTGGATTAGTAATATTTATTTCAGAACTGGTTATCAACAGTCCTTGGGTATTGCAGATCAAGTGACCAGAATAAGGGATTTGCACTGTTATGTGTTTTCTTTAAAAAAGGTGACCTGAAGACAAAGCAACTACTTCAAATCACCATCCTGTGTTTTTGTTCTAGTACTACCTACATCAGCGTGTCACGTCGGTGTCCCCCACGTACCAGATGACGCAGCCATATCATGGCTCTCCCACCCACCGTGCCCAGTTATCACATACCATTCAGGGTACAGCTGTGCCCATCATGGTAACCTTCTGCCATTATTGCCTGCATTTCCTGACAGCATATGTATTGTGTTGTATTTTCACTGTTGTATATTAAAATTTTCATTGCTTTTGTTATATTTTTACTTTTTTTTTTTTTTTTTTGGTGTCTTGGTAATATCAAATCATGATAGTCATTTGATTAGCACATGGCACCAGAGTCTTCTAGATGGGAAATGTGTGATTTCCTATTTGAATGGATAGGCTTATAACATTACAAAATGACGTAACCGATTTTGTAATGCAGAAAAAAAGATGCTGTAGCAAACTGTTTAGGTACTTGCTTAGCTCTTATTAAAACATTTTTGAATTTTCAGCTTACAATTTTTTAAAGAACTAACCTCTACAGATACTTTAGCATGTTATCTTTAAAATCCTGATGAGTTTCGGTATGAGAAAAGAAATGAAGAACGAGTGAGATCTATCAAACTTTTCAAATTGAAAGTTATTTTTTATTTCACCAATAGTAGCAAACCACAAAAAGAGGTCATCAGGATTCAAATGTTATTGATTTTTTTTTGACAGTTTTATTGAAATTGTTACTGTCTTAGTTATGTGTTTGCATATGCATGTTTTGAGCTGCTACCTGGAAAAATTATAAACAGTTATGCCAGTGTTTGTCTTTTTTACTTATATGTGAAATGATATGGATAACCTCTGATAATAAGTGAAGTACATATTACAAATAAATTTATATAATTATATACTCTATTTGCCATAGTTTTTGATGGTTCACAATTCAGTTTTTTTTTTTTCATCAAGTCTGTCAAGCTTGTGAGCTAAATTAATTTTATAAGTAATTGTGTGGTAAAGTTTGGTGTTGTAGAGAAAAATATGTGGACTTAAAAAAAGTCCAGTATTTTTTTTTATTAATGTAATAAGCTCTAAGGTGCACAATTTTAAAAGATTAAATGAAATTTGAGTCAGGCAGCCTTTTCAAGCAATTAGTGGCTAAATTTCAATTACTATTAAAGTCACCTCGACATGTATATAAGCCAATATAAGCCAATATGTCTTTCCATTATGTACCACTGCACAGTGCATGATAGTTTTTTTTTTTTTTTTTTTTTTTTTTTTTTTTTTTTTTTTTTTTAAATAATCAACTTGAAACTAGTGATGTGAGAATGTGAACTTTGCTAGTATGAAGAATTTTTTTATGCATGACATCTTTTGGTATGCAATATCATGAAAATGAGAGTGATACACTTTGCTTTGCATGGCTGTTTGAATGATATATTGATAGACTTTAAAACAAAAAGCTTACTAGGCATGTTTTAGATCTTTGATGTTTTGATGATGGTACGTGATAGTTTAGTAATTACAAATCATATGAATTATGAAAAAATTGCTTATAATTGAGAAAAAAGGACAAATGAATACTTCAAGTAGTGTTAGAAATATAAACTACAAAATGAGCTGAATTTTTGAATTTGACATGTGAAAAAAAGACATTGGGAAATAATTTAGGAATTGGATGTCATATGTTTATGTGACTCTTGATTCTGATATCAAATTTTCACTTATTTCAGTAGAAAGATTTGTGCATCCCAGAAGAAAGAGTGCTTTTGACAGGTCATTGATGATGTGTTTTTTAAAATATATTTTCTGTGTTTTGGTTGCAGGACAGCAAGAGCTACATAGGGGATTACTCTGCAGTGAAAGAACTAGACATGATAAGTAAAGAAATAGAAGATATGAAAAGGTGGGTTGATGTGCTTTTATTTATTTATTTATTTATTTATTTATTGCAATTTTATGGTTGTCATTTTTTATCTGTGCTTTAAGTGTATTTTTGCCCCCCCCCCCCCCCCCCACACACACACACATACACACACACACACACACACATGGGTATGGGTAAGTTTGGGTGCATTCAGGTTCACAATGAATCTATCTTACTACCCACAGCACACTAACTCCACACCATGTTAATATGATTGCACTAAGCGAGAGTCTCTGTGGAGTTAATGCACAGTAGTTAGTACAATAGATTCATTGTGAACACACCCTTTGTGTTTGGATACACCCATAGGTATCTATTTTGTGATGAATAAAGCAAGTGTAAGAAACATCCTTTCTAAAATTTAGTTTCAAGCCAACTAAGAAAAAGGTCCTAACAAAAAACATCCTGGTATTTTGAGTTCTATTAGTAATACATACATAAAACCAGTCTTCACATTATAACTTTTATTTATTCTCTCATTCATTAAAGAAACAGGGTTCTTAGATTACTTTAAGTAAATCAAATTAAATAGCTCACTGAAATTAAGATAACATAAATAAATAAATAAATAAATAAATAAATAAATAAATAAATAAATAAATAAATAAATAAATATCATGGCACCACTGATTGTTACAACAGGCACAGTTCATCCCAGCAGACTTATCAATGCATGTTGACATATTTAAATCTTAAGGCTAAATGCTGAGCACCTGAAACTTTTTTTTTTTAATTTCCTTTGCAAGCGGTATTTGGTCTGATACTATATGACTGAAAATGCAATATATTAGATTTGTTACAGGCAGGTTGTCCTCAAAACTCAGTGAGTGATAACACTGCTAGAAGGGATAATACTGTTGGTGAAAGGTACAAAAAAAAGGACAATTTAGCTTAGTGGTCCATCCTTGTTTGTTGATAACTTGTTTCACTTGTTTTTTATGGGGGAATGGGGCATTTTAAGTACTTGAAATTTGTGATTCAACTGACAATTTGGCTTTAAGCAAGTTGAATATATTTGCTGATGAAGACAGAAACATTAAGTGAATTAAAAGTGAAACATAGCCTAGTTTTCTGATGTATCATTTCAAGTTCATCTTATTGGCAGTGCTTGGCCAATTATATTTCAATAAATAAATATTGTACACATAACAATAAAATATAAAGGTATATGATTGTGTCACATGTGAGGGTGGAGGGGTGAAATGTTGATACATCCTGGACTGCTGAACTTCAACATTTTGCAAAAAAATGCAAATTTGTGCTGTGCAAATTTATGTTAAATCTAAGCAATAGAGAGCTAATATACAGGTATCAAGATGATAAATTTCATACACTTGAAATATGTAATTCCAACCACCCATAGAAACTACCAGATGGAAAATTTTACTTAGGGAAAAAAACGATTATATGCTTCTTATGTATAATTTATGATATCAAAAACTTGGATAGGATGTGTAAAGTGGATAACTTTTTTTTTTCTTTTTTTATTTGAGTGTTCAAACAAAACGTACTCAATCACTGTCTGACTTACTGTGCTGTCTGACTTCATCTGTGTGCACTGTTACTATTAATACTTTATTTACTATGTATTTGTTACTTGGGTCACCTTAGATCTAAAATAAAAAAATTAATGCTTTCTTATTTCAATATAATAATAAGTAGTGATATTAACCACAAAGTATAAATTCTACAAGGAATAATGCATTGAAAAAAGTTGTTTACAACTGCTGGTTAGGCAAAACATGCATATGACAGATTACAAGCCCAGTTTCACTGGTTTCCCCCCTGAGGTTTTACTTGCTAAAGCCTTCTTTTTTCAAATCTGGAGGAAATTGTCAAACCAAATATAGGTTGCCAAGGAAATGCTTGTCACTTTATTGGTCTCTTTTCAGGCATTGCATATAATGCAGTCTACATGGCACAAGTTCTTCAGCTCACAAATGAGATAAAGCAGTATAATTGACACTTGACAATCAGTACGCAATTATTCTACCTTTTCAATGTGAGAAAATTGTAAATTTTATAGATACTGCATCTTTCAGATCATAATTTCTCATAAATAGAACATTCCTATTGAGTGGTAGCAACAAAATTAAAAGGCAGGCTACTCTATACTTCTATACCATGCAGTAAAAACCACAAACCAAAAGTGATATATAGAAATATAATTTTTGTAATTATGAAATTATGTATTTGAAAGTTTGATTATTTTTGCCCATTGAAAAGATTGAGTAATTACCATACTCTTAATACTTCTGACTCGATCATGACAGTATATAGCTTTTTGGCAACTAACAACTTATAACCAAGGTGCATGCCCTAAATGAAATCAGTAAAGTGCCATTACCTTAATTTCATTAATTTCATAAGTATAAATAACACAAGATTATAATTAAGAATAAAAGGAATGTAGTTTCAGTTTGGAATGTTTTAGAAGACCATGGTCTTGAATTGGCTTAATTTGATTAATATGCTACAAAAATATATCCCAAAGCACCAATTGGTAGGCTTAGTAACCTTGGTCACCTTGCCCTTGTAGAACTGTGTTTTGTCAGCCAAGCCTGCAGTGTTTTCTTATCTCTTTCTAACTGCTTTTCAAGTATCTGTCCTCCTATAGAAGCAATGTTATACCTCGTACCAACAGACATGGTATGAAGCACAATTATCTCATTCATTTTGCGTGATTTGTCAGGCTGATAAACTTTGGTGATCCAGTCGTCAGCATACCAGGTTGTAAAATTCCTCGGATAATAAAAGCCAAAGATGTCCACGTGGGTCTTATGGACGAAGTCATATGTCAGGATAGCCATATTTCCCCCCTGATGATTCGGTCCAACAACCCCTACATTGGGAGGGTTAAATTGGGATAGCGCTCTGATAAATACCTCGGTCCAATTTTTGGATTTCATTTTAGTGTCATCATTCACCCTGTAGTAGTAATCCATGGAGTCATTGTAAGCTGCCATCATGGCGTCGTTCTGTGCCCATGCTGGTTTCCCAGAATGTCCACAGTTTACAAAGTGTAGGAGCACAGGTAGAGATGGATGACAGTGGGTCTTGACTAGTGTGTAAAATGATACAGTGAAGTTCTTGTGAGACCCTTCCTTACTGAAGAAAGCATCCGTATGATCGTGGGCAAGATAGAAATGGTACCTGTATCCTAAGCTGGCAGTCTCACAGAAACTAGGGAGAAGTGTTGTAAATAAAGGCAAAGCACTGTTGATTTTATCCATGGGAATTTTGTTTGTTGTTATGCCAAGTCCAATGGCAATGTTGATTCTTGGCATCATAGTGTTGTGTGGTTTGATGTCTTCTCTGATGCTAGCCACCACAGGGCGGTTAGTTTGGAATACGAGGTCTATGTTGAACACTTGAGAGAATTGTATCCTGTGGTTGTAGTTTGTCATGTCTATGTTGTACACCACAATCAACATACTGAGCAACAATCCAATACAAAACGTCCCAATTAGAATCGCATTCTGTGATCTCAGCATTTTACTCCCGGTGAAGTTGGCCGCTTACTTGCAGCCAGTATCTCCAGGTCTTTTTATCTGCTTTAAAAAAAAAAAAGATAATTTTAGGAACTGATTATACTTAATGGCTTGATGTCCTCAGTGGGGAAAATTGCGAATATTACAGATACTGTATTGTCAATAACTTAGAACATTTAGAACATTTCTGTTAGGTGCAGTGGCAAAATGGCGAAGCTGGCTGCATATATAGTTCTGTTCTATATATTATATGCACCACAAATACTACGTATACTAAAATGTATTTCAGTGATGCCAAAATTAAATATCTGAATGATTGATAATTTTCCCCATTAATGTCTCCTTGTTCACACACTTGAAAGCATCAATAAAGGACAAACACAAGTATGATTAGACCTGAAAAAATTGCATCAATATATATTAGCCAAACAAATAGTGAATCAATTTCCATTGTGGAGTTGCAAAGAAGCCAAGATGTTGAGAACATATTTTGGCTTTGCGTTTTACTGCGCACCTTAATGGCTTACATAATTTTGGCTTACGTTTTTGTTCTTTTGGCTTAATCAATATTTTCAGGCCTAAAAAGTACTTAATACTATTAAGTCTACCTGCTGGGTTTGCTAGGCTAAAGTAAAGATTACAATACAGTGTGTTAATGTCAAGACTTTGATATGGCTAAAAGTTCCAGCTATAAAGTTTAAGTCACTATCATGCTAGAGTCCACCCAGAAATTGCATTGATTGTTAAATACAAAATTTATACCCAATCTAACTGACGAAAGTATATTTTATGCCCTAGCTACCCAGTACTTACTGTCCTGCCATGCCATTTCACTTATTATATAGCCTAGCTCAGTAGTACTTTTCAGTGTATACTGTACCACACAATAGTTTACCCGAGTCCCTTTTTATCAGTGTGAATGGAGGTGGGTCATTTTTTCCATGTCTTTGCATTCTATTGTATGCAAAGAATAAACAGAGTAGGTCATACTGTATAAGTTAGTGTTTGTGTTGGGTTGCAAGCAAATTATTGACTGTAGGCTGTTGCATAATTCAAATGGAAATGGTGTAGGACGCTTGGGGCATTGTTGCAAATTACAGGAGTATTGTAATTATACTACTCAAGGGAAGTTAGGGAACACAAATTAGGTTTTTAAAAAATAATGTTTACTGTTTATTTACTAAAGACGTAAAAAAATAATAATGATAATGGTCAACCATTGCTTTATTGAAGCTTGTATTGTGTTTGGACTTTAATATCCAGTAACATTATGCAAATGCTCATTAAAAGGAAGGGAGGTCAAAAAGTAAGTTCATAGCTCTTAGAATCTTTTCAGTATCATGTTTGTCCACCTCTGGAAACCACATTTGCTTCACAACACTTCCCCATCAAGTAAATACTGTCTAGAGCAGTAATATGGAATTCCCTTCTTGAATAAGCCATTGAGCGAGCTGATCGAGATCAACGGGGGGAGGGGGGGGGTATAATTCCGTTAATCTTTTTGCGTGAATCAATTAACTAAAGTAAGACATTTTGGGGCTTTCATCAAACTCAAATTGTATGATATTAGTGTAATGTATATTCATCCCAGCAGTTCAATTTGAGTTGTGAATTAAGATATCAGAAAATGAAGTCTGTACATTCATTATCCTTGCACAGCAAGCGTTAGACCTGTATATAGTAAAAGTGTTAATTTTTATGGAAATTTCAACAATTTTCTCTCTGTTATCGAGATATACCATATACAAAGCTCTTGACAAAATTATAATTTTTAAACCAAAATGATATAAATCTATTTAATTTAGCCTCTCGTAATAGAAATAGATACATGTACCAGTGAATCTCACTTATAATCATAATAATTAGAAATACAGAATTAAGAACTTGAAAACAGATCTCTGAGTATTCAGGAAACTCATATTATATGATGTAAGTATAATGTATATTCATCCCAGCAGTTCAGTTTGATTTGTAACTAAGGATATCAGAAATTGAAGTCTGTACGTTCATTATCCTTGCACAGCAAGCGATAGACCTGTATATAGCAAAACTGTTAATTTTTATGGAAATTTTAACAATTTTCTCTCAATTATCAAGGTATACCCTATACAAAGCTCTTGACAAAATTATGATTTATAAACCAGAATTATATAAATCTATTTAATTTAGCCAATGGTAATAGAGATAGAGACCATTGAATTTCACTTACAATGGTAATAATTAAAAATACAGAATTAGGAACTTGAAAACAGAGTTACAGGGAATCTGCTGTATGTCTGACATTGAAAAGTATTAACAATATACATGGTTTACCTGGACTAAATCGGCCTTATAAAAAAGAATGGCCATCAGGCCCACGCTATTTATATTGGTTAAAAGGGGTCAATAAGGTTGGACAACAATGAATGGAAAGTCTGGAGTTTGACCTTTGCATGTATTTATGGTCTGTTCCAATACTCAATTGAACTGAATTATTTGAAGATTGTGAACAATATGATAATAAGGAACATGACGGATTATAAAAAGAAAAAAAATACTGGTTGAAAATTTACTGTAAGGATTCATGCGGTATACGTAGAATCATGACTTACCTCTTGAATCCTGTCCAACCAAGCCCATCAAATCCGGTGTGAAGCAGGCTATTTCTTATCTCCATTTTGACCTACATATATTACCCAGACAACATCCTACCTGAGTCCACCTCATTGCCTGTAATCTGTCACGTGTTTGTGTGCACACGCTTATTTGTTTTCCGATAAGAGACTGATCCCGATATTAACATACCTGATCTTATTATTTTCTCCCTCATTACGGTGTACGCCAGTTGGCATTCTTCATATATATTTTTTTCTTTTTGGATGTGAGGTAAAAGTGTCCTCATCTTATCATTTATCAATTTGTCAAATTATTCTATATTTACAACTGCTGGTCATATTGAAATTAGCATAATAACTGGCATGAAAAAAGATGCAGTTTGATAATCAGTTATGGCATTATGTTACCTTATGGTACCTTGTCATAACATTTCCATACATACGTTAAAATTATCTAAGAACATCAGTATTAATGTGTGGACATTCATAGTTCCAGAAAGTGACAAAGAATCCCATTTATTCTTATATAGATTAATGACACAAAGGGACACCTGTGAAAATTCCATGTATTTTCATCACCTATTATATGATAATATAAAGTGTCATGTGGCTTGTCATTTTTATATGGATGGATTTAGACATTGAATGTCAGTAGCGCGTGTCCCTTACATTCTTTGGAAGAAAAAACATCCTGAAGTCTTGAGTAATTGGCGATAAGTTTCAGCCATGTATTATATATTAAATGGTTTCGTTTTCAAGAAAAATAATAACAAAACAAAGTACATTGTGTTTGCATTTTTGTGGGGGATTCCCAGTGAAGGAAGAGTATGTAAATTGATGATATATGTCAGGCTATCTTTTCGCAATGGTATACCCTCTTCCCTATCTGAGATAAAGCCATCTGGATTGAGGTGTATTATATTTATTCATTATAGAATTTATTAGTCTCAACAGACAATCCAAATCATTGAAATACATGGCATTTCAGGTATTTCTCATTTATTAGGCAGATTTATTAAGCTGTGCTAACTAATAAAGTGTCTAGCTTTGATTAAAAAATTGTGTTGAAGTAGCAAAAGAAGTCAAATTTCGACCTTCCTATAAAAAAGCATATAATACATTGTAAAAAAAAATGCTGTAAGTTTTAAAGTCTTAAAAGTATCTACATCTTCTAGAATTATAGAATGATGTAAAATAATGAGCAAATTATTATTAGGAGCTATATGAAGTAGCAAATATATAACAGTCAAAAATATAGGGAGCAAACTATAATGGTAAAGGTAAAAATAGAAAATGAAACAAGAATAGAATCAAGTAAATACAAGCATCCTTATCTACCCCACCTTCAACAATCTAACCTTGCTCAAGCATCTATCTCATTATTTTCTTAATTTTTGATACTGCTTGGTCATCAAGGTGTTCCTGCTTGAACAGTTCTGGATGACTCCTGCTCTTGCCACCAACACCCACAAATTATTGAACTGAGCAAATATTTGTCCTCTCCTTCCATATTAACAACTATAAATAAAGTAATACAATACATGAACAACAAAATGAAAAGAAAAGTATTAGAGTAAAAGTGCTATAAAAAATAATGAAAAAGACCCTACCACTTTTGCAAAAATACATGTTCATGATGATTATATGCATTCCAATCTGTATTTTATTTTATTAATTTATTATTATTTTACTTATTTATTTATTTATTTTTTTAGTCTTAAACTATTTGCTCTTGCCTTAATGGTCAGTAACAAATGTGTTCATTGAACAGCTTTTGCTGTGTAACCTATTGAATCATTTTAATTATGTTTCAGGCAGGAAACTGGGCTTGGCAAGATAACCCATTTAATTTCTTTTTTCTATTTATTACACTATCTACCAGGGAAAAAATCCAGTTAGAACAGAACAAGGCTCAGAGAGATGCAGACATCAAGATCAGGAGTGGAGAGGTGCAGACGTTACAGAAAGAATTAGATGCTATAAATAATACCATCCAGCAGCTAGAGACTCAGAAAGGAGAGGCACAGAAGAGACTGGATGAATTAGATGACACAGTAAGTATAGATATAGAAAACAAAGTCATCATAAATGAATAAAATCTAAAGGCGTTGGGACATCTGATCCTGTTATAGAATAGATAACAAGTAAGCTGATAAACTCTTTAAAATCAGGTAATTTTACCTGTATTTATTTATTTATTTATTTATTTATTTATTTATTTATTTATTTATTTATTTATTTATTTTTGTGTATGTGTGTTAATTTTTTATCCGTTTGTGTATCTGCCTGTCTGTCTGTCTGTCTGTCTGTCTGTGTATTTATTTGAGGATGGATCTTTGGAAAAGAAGTCTTGCTGCATATATGTTGGAATTTTATTTATTTTTTTAGGTCACTGCTTCTGAAATTCAACAAAATCCTCCTATGGAAGTGCATTATTCACGAAAAGATATATTTATGAATTATTTTCTACAGTTTAAGTTGTTTGGAGAACTAAAATATCTATCCAACTACTGAATTCTTTGGTTTATTTTTAAATCCAGGATATGTCAGAAAAAAAAATGGCTGCAATATGTAACGCATCATATTACGATGAGTTATTCAAACAATATTACAAGGATACTGACATAATTGATCCTAAGTTGATCACACATTTGGCACTGTAAACATATCAAGCGCAGGTGATGCTAATCTTTCTGCCAAACCCTTTTATCATTTTGTTACATCCATCTAGTATATTGAAAGGCTCACAGGGAATTTTTTTCTGCTGTTTTGTGTCAGAGATGTAACATGTATGCTGATTTATTTGATGAAAATACTTCATAAGCTCAATTTGATGTATTAGGACATGCAGATTAGTAGGGAATGCAATGCAGCCATTGTAATTAGCTAAACCTAGTCAGAAAGCAAACTGTATTTGTCCAATCTTTATCTCTTACACTAGTAGAAGAATGTGGTTTATGATATGATTAACTTCTGCTGAGTATTAATACAAATACTCTGGCATTGATTTACAACAAATGAGTTGTAAATGTGCATGTTATGACCGCATTTATAAGACTTGTAAATACGATGGGGTATAAATTTTGCTTTCTTTTTTATTTCAGACTTTTTTCATCTAAAAACACTTCTGTCTCAGCTTTGAAACATTCATATTTTGTGCTGTTTTGAGGATCTTTTCCTAGTCTTCACATTACTGAACTTACTGACAAAACAAAACAAAAAACCCACTCCATGTCCCCATTGACAATATTGGGAAAGGGAGTTGCTTTCTCTGCAAAAATAAGTGATGGCTGATGCCGAGATGGCTGCCACTGCACCAGCTCAAATCCACCTCCTCATCTCTTGTTGCATTTTCTGATTCTCTCACTTAACCTCCATACAGTAGCTAGTGAATTCTTCATTTTCTTGGCTCATTTAAAGAAGTGTTTATATTAAGCTTTCTTATCAGAGTTTCCTTTGAAGTGTAAGATGTGACCAATCCCACACTCCATCAGCACTGACATCACCATTTTGCAAGCTTGCTGTAAGTGGTAATGTAGAACTCTGATGTTCAAGAGGCAGCAAGTTGCACATTGCATTGGTGTGAGCCCAGTGATATCAAGGGTGGACAGTTTTTTTTAAAACTGAAATGTTAAGTGAATGACTTGCATAGTTGATTTTTCAGATTAAGCAATTTCTGTAATTTATTTTCAGAAATCAAAATTAGAGCTTGCAGTGAAAGAGGCAAGGGAAAAATGTGAAAAGGAGCAACGAGAAGTGGACACATTAAGGAGTGAAATTGCCAGTCAAGAAAAATCGCTCAAGGTGAGAATTCAATGTCAATTTTTTTAGCAGCATGTCTGTTAATCATTATTTCCCTACATTGAGATTCTGTGACTGCAGTTGATCTCAGCTCATTAGAATCACTTGTTACACTCTGCTCACCAAAAGGAGTCAATTTTCTGTTTGTTTTACATTTCAGACGCAAGAGGAAGACCTTGCAAAAATGAAAATAGAACTGAACACTTTAAAACAGGAAGAAACAGAACTTGAAAAGAAAAGGGACAATGGCAAATTACAATTGAACAGTGTAGAAAAGTCAATAAAAGATTCCAGTGCTCAAATCAATCAGGTATGAACCCTCTTTGTGCCTAATGAACACTTTCACTTAAAATAGTATAAAACTTTTATGCATTTAAGACACATAGAAGTGATTGGCTCTTATAGAACTAAGATATTTAAGTAGATTTTGCTACAAGAATCTCTGAGAGAAAATTTTGGAAGAATTAAAGAATTTAAGCAGGTGTTATGCAGTAAATTTCTGAGAGAAGTAAAAAAAATGAGTAGATGTTATATGCAATAACAGAAAACATTCCATACATTGGTTCATTTCCATTAAACACAAATTAAAAAAAAAAAGATTAAAAAAAAATCATGTATCAAGTGTAGAAAAAAATACAGAAGCAAGTCCCCCCCCCCCCCCCAAAAAAAAAAAAAATACAACATATAATGTATCTACACAATTTTAGACAAAGGCTAAGATTCAGCAACTCCAAGAAACGCAGAGGAATATCCAAGAGACCATCAACCAGTATGATAAACTGCTAACAAATGGTGATATAAGCAGCCCGGAGCCCGTGTTAAAACACACCCCGGCCCCATCAGAAGGAGACGTGGCCAGTTTTAGGGCAACTACTGTAAGTGATGGGTATCTTTTTAAACAACAAGAGGGCGTTCTTTCAGCTGAGCAGATTTAGATGTTGAAATTAGTCTGAAACATTTAGAATATGATTATAATATAGATAAATTTTTGTATGGATTCATCATTTATGAAGTTTATGCTCATTTCATTTGTAGTCTCTAGTTTAAAGGTTTTTTGTATGAATTTAGGATGGGTCTAGAAAAGCAGACTGTTAACGTAAACTATATTACATTCCAGGGAGGCAGCAGTCCTATGAGTAGTCTGAGTGGTTTTAGTACAGATACGGGCATTGAAGATTTTAAAGAAGACCCTTTTAAGAATCACGATCCTTTTGGAAAAGACTCCAGTGATCCTTTTACCAGTGGCAATAGTGGTGATCCATTTCAGAATGAAGATCCATTCAAAAATACTCAAAGTGAAGATCCTTTCAAAGGATGTAAGTCTAAAAAATGCACAACTGTAGTTGTAGCCCTTTGAATAAACTTTTTTTGTTATTAATATAGATAATATAAATAATATCTTTCTCTAATTTATCCTCTCTCTATTCTCATTTTGAAACAATGGTAAAGTGGTATGACCTTTATATAGAGAATAAGTTGCTGAACATTAATAATGAAAAGATACAGCATTATGATGTGTAGCTGCTTCTTTTTTCCTTGGATATGAAGTGGCAGTTATAATAAAGACATATTGCTTTATGATTTGTAGTTGCTACCTTCTCGCTTGAATAAAGCAGCATATCTTTGCTAAATATCATTAATATCTTTATACATAAATGTGCTCTATTGAAATATGAAATAGTCATTTTTCAAAATCCAAAATGGGGCATTGAGTTCTATATTTTGTTTTTTGAAAAGTGGTGAGTTTTTGAAGTATGAATGATGAATGAATTTTTCTTGTTCTTGTTTCACATAAGCAAGGTCGATTGCTTAATATCACTCAAATTAGTGTAATTCTTAATAGTCTTTTTTTAAACAGAAAACTGAAATATCAAAATTGCTTTTAATTATTTTCCAGCTGACCCCTTTAAGTCTTCTGGTTTTGATTCTGATCCTTTTGGTGGAGATCCTTTCAAAAATGAATTTGGTTCCTCAGCAAGTGCCAAGGTGAGTTGTGTTTAATATGGCAATATCAGATACAGAATTCGCTAGTGGCAGTTCAAAGAAATAAAAATAAAAAAGAAAAGAAAAATGAATAAAGAAAAAGATAGATTTCTCAGCAGAAGGCAAATGATTTTCTCTTAAATAACAAAAAGTGATAAAATTGGTTATTTTCACTCACCTTAGTCCAGGAACATATCTTGATCAATTGATCCTGTTTACATATGCTATTATTCCCACTGGAATTTATAAGCATAGTCCTTTCAATAAATCATAAGGACACCAGCAGAAGATACTGTCATTAAATTACCAATGTACATGAACAAATGAAAATTTAAGACAAGGTTTCAATGCAGTGAAATGTATAAAGAATTCAAAGCAAAGGGGATGGATTATCTACACTAAAAACTCCTTTGGTTATACTACTATTGACATCATAACTGTTTTCCTTTTATTTATTTGATCAGAAAACTGTCAGAACATTTTCGTCAAGTGATTTTTAAAAAGAAATTCACCCATCATGCATTTCAATCCCTACCCACTTTTTAAACAATTTATGAAATTTTCATATTTTGTATTTGTCATATTGAAATTTAATGAATGTAAGTTATAGTTTAAGTGACTACAAACATTAATTTATAATCCCTTAATAATGAATTATCATTATTATTATTATTATAGTAATGCTGTGTTCCTGTTACAGAATGATCCATTCCATCAAAGCATATTTGCCAAGTGATTTTAAAAAAGAAATTCATCCATCTTGTGTTTCAATCCCTAGCCCTTTTTTAACAATTTATTAAATTTTCTTATATAATATTGAAATTTAATGAAGTAAGTTATAGTATAAATGGCCTCATACGTTAAGTTATAATTCAATAATAATTAAAATAATAATAATAATGATGAAGCTGCATTCCTGTTACAGAATGATCCATTTGGTGGCAGTGACCCCTTTGGTAGTAGTTTTCCAGCAAGGCCAGCATCAGCAGCAGCAGGTAATTGAGAAGCCATTCCACATGTGCACTGTTTGTGTCTTCTTTCTTTCTTGCTCTCTTTCTTGTTGAAATTTCTCCCTGTTTTATCCACTGAACAATTGTTCATTTCAGAACTATTGCAATAAGTGTAAATATTTTTCAGTAGTGGAAATGAAATGGTTAGTAAATTTCTTTGCAACGCATCTTTACCTTTCAGCTTCCAGTGATCCTTTTGGCAGTAGTTTTCCAGCTAGACCAGCATCAGCTGCTCCAGGTAATTTGAAAAGTTCCCATCTGTACTGGTCAAAACAAACATTAGTAATAACATATGAAATTTAATTTTATCACTGCATAAATGTGACGTGCTGGTTGCTAAATTAACACACAAAAAAAAAAAAGAAGAAGAAGAAAAATTAATCATTTTTTTTTTTGTTCCTTGTTTTCACAGTTACAAACGATCCATTTGATCCATTTGGTGGTGGCGGTGGTGGTGGTGGCAGCTCAAAGGGATTGGGGGTGAGTCACCACAATGTTGTGCTTCAATTATATACAGAATTTTATTTGAATAATTACAAAAATTGACAGTCATATTTAAATTTTGTGTTCATTGTTAAGATTCACCAGGTTAAGATTTATAACTGAGTGAAGTAAGTTACAAGTAAAATTTTTCCTTAGCAGCATTTACATTGCCAGCAAATAAGTACCATTGCGTCAATGCGTACTAGCCTCCATTCTTAACTTTGTAATTCAGAAGGATGGAGGAGACTTGTTTGGCAGTGACCCTTTTGCCCCCACGTCCCGCTCCAAGTCCGAATCTCCGACGCCAGCATTACCTCCCAAACAGCGGCGCCAGCCCCCTCCCAGACCAGCGCCACCTAGAACTAGTAGCAAAGCTGCAACTGCTACTAAGACTGATACATTCGAGGGCTTCTCCAGTGACCCATTTGAGGGTGCTGATCCTTTTGGTGCCAGCTCCACGGGAGGTCAGGACCCATTTGCAAGTTCAGGTGGTGGAGGTGGAATGGATGCATTTGCTAATTTTGCTGACTTTAGCCCTGGGAAGGTGAGATCATGATTCTCCTTTTGTTGAGATAATATATATTTAATTGAATATTTGGATGAATTTACGTGCTTAAGCCTTTGTGGAAATTAAAGTCAATTTAATAACTTATTTGATAAACTGAATAAGAATGAATTAAGCTTTGGGTAGATTTTGGTGAGTTGTGGAATTGTATAATTTTTTCTTCAATTGCTGCATAGTTTGAGGAGTCAGAGCCAACATATTTGGTAAAATTTGAAATAACTTTATTTATTTATTTAGTTTTTTTTAAAGTAGATTTTATTGATTTTGTTTATTTGAAAGTGATCTGTACTGTATTTCTTAACAGGCACAGTCACCTGTGCTAATAGCTGCTGATGTCTGTTGATTTGGTTCACAGAGTCAAAGTAGTAGCATTTTACTGCTTGCTTGCTAGATTCAGACCATATCATTTCTTCCTATTTGAAGAAAAATTGTTCTTTTGCAGTGATACATTGTCATTAATAGTTCTTCATTTATTGTTTAGTTTTCAGTAGAAGAGGGAAAATCCACACTATCCAGAATATATAATATTATGTTAAAATCTGATCAAGCAAGCCATTTGTTTTATCACTAACAATTGCTTACTATAAATATGAGCCCCACAATTTACATTTTATCATCAGCCTTTTATGATGTAAATGAAAAAATTGTAAATATCTAACTGGTAGTTTAGTAATGCATTAGGAGATTAACAGGCATTTATATGGTAACTGCTCTCATAAAAATAACAAGTCGATCAATTGGCTATATTTCTTAATATTTGTATGTTTTAGTTTGGAAAGAGTGAAGATGCACAGCTTGCTTGGGCAACAGTGGAAAGTAAAAAAGCAGAAGAGGCCAGAAGAAAACAATTAGAGCAAGAGCAGGCAGATTTGGAACTAGCCATAAAATTAAGTAAAGCTGATGCTGGCTCCTCGGAGGCATAGTTGGTTGTCTTGATGCAGTTCAGCTATGGTGAAAATGTGATTTAATTGTCAATATATATTTATATATATATATGGTCCCAGAACAGGTGTTTGGGATAGAATTTTAAAACATTTTAAATGGGCTAATGCAAATATCCCTTTCCCTAATCTGCTGCTGCACTTGGTTCAGTGTATTTGATTAGTAGTTTGTAATGGCCATTGAAAAGACCCACACAGTAAAAATGCTGTAGTTGAGATACTAGTATGTGATTACAGTGTGCTAGCTGTAACACAATCAAACTACTAGTTATTTGTGGAGATCTCACTGTACCCAGTGAATAGTATTAGAAAATAGCAATATGTTGAAAGAAACTTTATGGAGCCATGAATTCAATATTCATGGGATTCATAGTGATTGCTGAAGAGTGTGAAAATGTCAAATATTATTGTGAATTACTGTAAGGATTTTTGCCATGAATCTTGTCAGTCATGAACTGAAAATGGACCTAGATGGAAACCCAATTGGTATGTAATATAATTCTTAATCAAAGAAACTTTCTTTTGTTCAATGCCTTGTTATAAGGTATTTAAAGCCACATAAAATTTGCCACATGTTGCTGTCTTGATACTAAAGTTTGATAAAAGGATGGGAAATGCTGATTTAGCTGCTACATGCTAGATGTGTCGTTCATAAATATTGTGTTTATAAATCTTTTGTAGTGTTTTGTCTTGGTGCTTGAGAAGTTACTTTGTTAAAGAAATTTAACTCATATTCCTTTTGTTTGTGTATAACTGATGATTTAAACAAATGAATACAAAGGCTGGAAAAATTACCCTAAAGTGAAGGGGACAGAAGAAAAAGTAAATTAAAATATCCAACTTTGTAGACTTCATGTAAACAAGGTGCTAGTTGCTTAATTTCTGAAATTGTTATTGATGTGTTTTTTCCATTAAGTCTCCGCTAGGAAAAAAAGTCATCACTTGAACTGTGTAACAGTTACTGGATGTTTTTCTTAGCTCACAAGGAGTTAATAGGAATGTTTAAAATAGATAGTATGACATAGGTCCCAATGTTGACATAGGACCCATTTTGAAAGTGCAAAATAAGAAAAAGAGAGAGGAAAAAAATAGAGCCATTCATATTGTTGATATGTTCTTCTTACACAGGTGCAATATTTAATGATGTTTAACTGTGAGATAAGACATGTGCATGTAGATATATAATGTTAATATAAAGCTTTGAAAGGGAGTCTGGATTTCAGAAATTACAGAAGAGGTTTATCACTTTTTGAAGGGCTTCCGCAAGGATTACCAGGATGGAAAAACCTAAATCCTATAATGATAAGAGAGTGTGATATTAAGTATCTTCTGAAGCCAGTGCAATTAATTTGCTTTTCCAGGAACAAAAAGATATAAAAAGAACTTCAAGAATAGTTGCTTTTGACCTTCCTAAGAACATATTCTGTAGTGGATGTTAACTGTTATTGGCAGAGGAATTACAGTTATAAAAGTTGACCAATAATTTTTTTCACCTGGCTCTTTATGAAATGTTTTATCATTCTAAATATTCTTCCATGAGCTTAATATGTGAAATGTCCCTTATGACTTCTGAAAATTAGCTCCTTTCATCACTGTCAGTGTAAATGCATGCATGTGTCAACAGTTCTTTATTCATATATGTACTGTGCCTGTAAATATCCACCCGAGTCAGTATTTGTACAGTCTGCTGAGGGAAAAAATATTGATTTGTGAAGTGTGGCCTCAGCCAGTTGTTAGACAGTGGAGAGAGGATTCTACTATAGGGTATAGTGGTAAAGCTGCTGTAAAATGCACTTGCCAATTAACTGTTGAACTCTTGTAGTTCTGAATGCATACAATCCAAATATATACATTTACCGTTTGTTATATATGAATATTGATGTATGCATAGTGCTCCATGTTCATGATAGAAGTTGTAAATAATGAGATAAGAAACACTGTTGTATATAAATCAACTTGCAAATTATCCAGAATGCTTTGTTGTTTTTCATTAGAACCTTCAGTGTACTTGACAAAAGACTATGGAAAATCAGTTATTAAATATGTTCAAAAATGATGAAAATCGGTCTTGTAAGCCATGTGTAAAACACTGGTAAGTATAACATAAGAAATAGTTGAAGTAATATTGATTGAAATTTTACATCTGTTAGATAGATCCTGAATGATGGCTTATAAGCAAAAAGAGTATGTTCTAAGCTGGGCAATTTTACTACCCACTCTTTATTTTCATTCATCACCTTTTTAAATTGCTCAGCAAATTTTCTGGCTTTAATTTATAACCAGACGAATGGTCAGTCACAAAGGTGGGACCATTAAGATGCAAAATAACTGCCAACTTAAATATTTTTACAGAATAGTTTAAATTTTCCCTTTTNGTGTTAGACCTGTATATAGTAAAAGTGTTAATTTTTATGGAAATTTCAACAATTTTCTCTCTGTTATCAAGATATACCATATACAAAGCTCTTGACAAAATTATAATTTTTAAACCAAAATGATATAAATCTATTTAATTTAGCCTCTCGTAATAGAAATACATACATGTACCAGTGAATCTCACTTATAATCATAATAATTAGAAATACAGAATTAAGAACTTGAAAACAGATCTCTGAGTATTCAGGAAACTCATATTATATGATGTAAGTGTAATGTATATTCATCCCAGCAGTTCAGTTTAATTTGTAACTAAGGATATCAGAAAATGAAGTCTGTACGTTCATTATCCTTGCACAGCCAGCGTTAGACCTGTATATAGTAAAACTGTTAATTTTTATGGAAATTTCAACAATTTTCTCTCAATTATCAAGGTATACCATATACAAAGCTCTTGACAAAATTATGATTTATAAACCAGAATTATATAAATCTATTTAATTTAGCCAATGGTAATAGAGATAGAGACCATTGAATTTCACTTACAATGGTAATAATTAAAAATACAGAATTAAGAACAGAATTAAGAATTAAGAACAGAGTTACGGGGAATCTGCTGTATGTCTTACATTTAAAAGTATTAACAATATACATGGTTTACCTGGACTAAATCGGCCTTATGAAAAAGAATGGCCATCAGGCCCACGCTATTTATATTGGTTAAAAGGGGTCAATAAGGTTGGACAACAATGAATGGAAAGTCTGGAGTTTGACCTTTGCATGTATTTATGGTCTGTTCCAATACTCAATTGAACTGAATTATTTGAAGATTGTGAACAATATGATAATAAGGAACATGACAGATAATAAAAAGAAAAAAAAATACTGGTTGAAAATTTACTCTAAGGATTCATGCTGTATACGTAGAATCATGACTTACCTCTTGAATCCTGTCCAACCAAGCCCATCAAATCCGGTGTGAAGCAGGCTATTTCTTATCTCCATTTTGACCTACATATATTACCCAGACAACATCCTACCTGAGTCCACCTCATTGCCTGTAATCTGTCACGTGTTTGTGTGCACACGATTATTTGTTTTCCGATAAGAGACTGATCCCGATATTAACATACCTGATCTTATTATTTTCTCCCTCATTACAGTGTACGCCAGTTGGCATTCTTCATATATATATTTTTTTCTTTTTGGATGTGAGGTTAAAGTGTCCTCATCTTATAATTTATCAATTTGTCAAATTATTCTATATCTACAACTGCTGGTCATATTGAAATAAGCATAATAACTGGCATGAAAAAAGATGCAATTTGATAATCAGTTATGGCATTATGTTACCTTATGGTACCTTGTCATAACATTTCCATACATACGTTAAAATTATCTAAGAACATCAGTATTAATGTATGGACATTCATGGTTCCAGAAAGTGACAAAGAATCCCCTTTATTCTTATATAGATTAATGACACAAAGGGACACCTGTGAAAATTCCGTGTATTTTCATCACCTATTATATTATAATATAAAGTGTCATGTGGCTTGTCATTTTTATATGGATGGATTTAGACATTGAATGTCAGTAGCGCGTGTCCCTTACATTCTTTGGAAGAAAAAACATCCTGAAGTCTTGAGTAATTGGCGATAAGTTTCAGCCATGTATTATATATTAAATGGTTTTGTTTTCAAGAAAAAAAAAATAACAAAACAAAGTACATTGTGTTTGCATTTTTGAGGGGGATTCCCAGTGAAGGAAGAGTATTTAAATTGACGATATATGTCAGGCTATCTTTTCGCAATAGTATACCCTCTTCCTTATCTGAGATAAAGCCATCTGGATTGCAGTGTATTATATTTATTCATTATAGAATTTATTAGTCTCAACAGACAATTCAAATCATTGAAATACATGGCATTTCAGGTATTTCTCATTTATTAGGCAAATTTATTAAGCTGTGCTAACTAATAAAGTGTCTAGCTTTGATTAAAAAATTGTGTTGAAGTAGCAAAAGAAGTCAAATTTCGACCTTCCTATAAAAAAGCATATAATACATTGTAAAAAAAAAATGCTGTAAGTTTTAAAGTCTTAAAAGTATCTACAACTTCTAGAATTATAGAATGATGTAAAATAATGAGCAAATTATTATTAGGAGCTATATGAAGTAGCAAATATATAACAGTCTAAAATATAGGGAGCAAACTATAATGGTAACGCTAAAAATAGAAAATGAAACAAGAATAGAATCAAGTAAATACAAGCATCCTTATCTACCCCACCTTCATCAATTGCTAACCTTGCTCAAGTATCTATCTCATTATTTTCTCAATTTATCATGCTGCTTGGTCATCATGGTGTTCCTGCTTGAACAACTCGATGACCTGCTCTTGCCACCAACACCCACAAATTATTGAACTGAGCAAATACTTTTGTCCTCTCCTTCCATATTAACAACTATCAATAAAGCAATACAATACATGAACAACAAAATGAAAAGAAAAGTATTAGAGTAAAAGTGCTATAGAAAAAATGAAAAAGACCCTACCACTTTTGCAAAAATACATGTTCATGATGATTACATGCATACCAATCTGTATTTTATTTTATTAATTTATTATTTTTTTTTTCGAATTTTTTTTAGTCTTAAACTATTTACTGTTGCCTTAATGGTCAGTCAGAAATGTGTTCATTGAACAGCTTTTGCTGTGTAACTTATTGAATCATTTTAATTATGTTTCAGGCAGGAAACTGGGCTTGGCAAGATAAACCATTTAATTTCTTTTTTCTATTTATTACACTATCTTCCAGGGAAAAAATCCAGTTAGAACAGAACAAGGCTCAGAGAGATGCAGACATCAAGATCAGGAGTGGAGAGGTGCAGACGTTACAGAAAGAATTAGATGCTATAAATAATACCATCCAGCAGCTAGAGACTCAGAAAGGAGAGGCACAGAAGAGACTGGATGAATTAGATGACACAGTAAGTATAGATATAGAAAACAAAGTCATCGTAAATGAATAAAATCTAAAGGCATTGGGACATCTGATCCTGTTATAGAGTAGATAACAAGTAAACTGATAATTCTTTAAAATCATGTAATTTCACCAGTATTTATTTATTTATTGTGAATGTGTGTTTATTTTTTATCTGGTTGTCTATCTGCCTGTCTGCCTGTCTGTGTATATTTATTTTGAGGATGGATCTTTGGAAAAGAAGTCTTGCTGCATATATGTTGGAATTTTATTTTCTTGTAGGTCACTGCTTCTGAAATTTAACAATATCCTCTTATGGAAGTGCACTATTCATGAAAAGATATGTTTATGAATTATTTTCTACAGTTTAAGTTGTTTGGAGAACTAAGAGCGCATTCTCAACGAATTAAGCCAGGCTTTACAAAGCCGGTGACCTAAAAATGGCGGACGTACATGAAAGAAAAACCGCCTAATCTTTTAATAGTCTCTCCGCCTCCCCACACGTCGTCCCTGCGGGGTACAGTAATTAAATCNTTCTTCACCACGAGTTTAACTGATGAGCATGCGCACTTAATATTTCTCAGGTAGCTTCCGCATGGCGAACGGAGCCGAGATTTAATTACTGTACCCCGCAGGGACGACGTGTGGGGAGGCGGAGAGACTATTAAAAGATTAGGCGGTTTTTCTTTCATGTACGTCTGCCATTTTTAGGTCACCGGCTTTGTAAAGCCTGGCTTAATTCGTTGAGAATGCGCTCTAAGAAATCTCTCCGACCACTGAATTCTTTGGTTTATTTTTAAATCCAGGATATGTCAGAAAAAAAAACGGCTGCAATATGTAACGCATCATATTACGATGAGTTATTCATACAATATTACAAGGATACTGACATAATTAATCCTAAGTTGATCACACAGTTGGCACTGTATACATATCAAGCGAATGTGATGCTAATCTTTCTGCCAAACCCTTTCATTATTTTGTTATATCCATCTAGTATATTGAAAGGCTCACGGGGAATTTTTTCTGCTGTTTTTGTGTCAGAGATGTAACATGTATGCTGATTTATTTGATGAAAATACTTTATAAGCTCAATTTGATGTATGAGGACATGCAGATTAGTAGGGAATGCAATGCAGCCATTGTAATTAGCTAAACCTAGTCAGAAAGCAAACTGTATTTGTCCAATCTTTATCTCTTACACTAGTGGAAGAATGTGATTTATGATATGATTAACTTCTGCTGAGTATTAATACAAATACTCTGGCATTGATTTACAACAAATGAGTTGTAAATGTGCATGTTATGACTGCATTTATTTATGATAAGACTTGTAAATATGATGGGGTATAAATTTTGCTTTCTTTTTTATTTCAGACTTTTTTCATCTAAAAACACTTCTGTCTCAGCTTTGAAACATTCATATTTTGTGCTGTTTTGAAGATCTTTTCCTAGTCTGAACATTACTGAATTTACTGACAAAACGAAACAAAAAACCCATTGACAATATTGGGAATGGGAGTTGCTTTCTCTGCAAAAATAAGTGATGGCTGATGCCAAGATTGCTGCCACTCCACCAGCTCAAATTCACCTCCTCATCTCTTG